GTGGGTTCGCCGGGGTTTGTGGGGGGGGGGGGGGGGGGGGGGGGGGGGGGGGGGGGGGGGTATCATCTTGATTTCATCGGATCGCATTCGTTGCGTCGTGGTCGGACTAACGTGGATGGAACATTTATTAATCCAGGCTAGCCAAGCGGATGGCTGGCTGGCGACGAAGGAAGCCTTCCTGAACAACGACGACCTCGGCGAGTCCTTGTCCGGCGTGGAGAAGCTAATGCGAAAGCACGAGGACTTTGAGAAGATGCTGATCCCACAGCTCGGCCGCATCGAGGAACTGGAAAAGTTTGCGAGCGCCATGTTGTTCGAGGGTCACGCGGACGCTGCGAGCATTGAGTCGAGGCTCGCGGCTGTCTGCACGAGGCGCGACAAGCTCAAGAGCTCTGCGTCAACGAGGCGAAATAAGCTGGTAGAGAGCCGACGGCTCCATCAGTTCCTGAGGAACGTCCTCGAGGTCGAGGGTTGGCTGCACGAGAAGCAGCAGGTGGCCAGTGACGAGAATTACAGGGACTCAACGAATTTGCAGAGCAAAATCCAGAAGCACGTGGCGTTCGAGAGCGAGCTCTCGGCTAATAAAGGACGCGTGTCGGCAGTTACCAGTGAAGGTTCGTGTGCTCCTCATAGTAGCTCCGAACAACGAGTTGAGCAAAGATATCGAGCCTTGCGGTTCAAGGACATTCAAGGACTCGAAGTCTCGAAACTCGAGCTTAAAAAGTTCACTTTCATCGCGGTATTTTCCATCGACTAAAGACGCATTGGCAAAAATAATGACACTAAGAATATAAAAAGGACGGAGTATACAAGTTTTTAATTGTTTGTTTTTGTTTTTGTTTTATTTTTTTACACTAAATCGAAATCATGATGATCACTTGCAAAGTACATAATTATTATTCTTGTCATTGTCGTCGTCAACGTCATTCCCGTTATTCCCCCGTCATCTCGAATTCATGAAATGTGGTAAAAAAAGTTCGTATCGTGATTGTCGCAGGTGATGCACTTGTCAAGGAAAGTCATTATGCGTTGAAGGAGATCCAAGAGCGCCTCGATGAGCTCGAGGCCGAATGGGAGCTTTTGCAAGAGACCAGCAAATTAAAGAAAACTCGCCTCGACGATGCTTATCAAGCGCTTTTATTCAGCCGCACTCTCGACGAGTTCGAGGCTTGGATCGACGAAATCGAAACACAACTCCAGTCCGAGGATCACGGCAAAGATCTGTCCAGCGTTGCCAATCTCTTAAAACGACACACGAATCTGGAGAACGACGTTATGAGCCATAACGAAGCTTGCGAGTCAATCAAGGAGACAGCTGGAAATTTCCAACGCGCCAAACATTTTATGAGCGAGGAAATTCAGGAGCGAGCGGCCTCAACCATCAGCAGGTACGACGCGTCATTATTAAAATGACTACTTCGCCCACCTCTCTAATCTCCCTCTCCCACCACAATCTGTGGATCTTGTGCATTTAAGTGTTTCACTCCCTTTTCGATCCGCCCAATTACCCTCCTCACGATCTGGCTTAACTATCCATTAGTATAAGTGCAATCACGAGAATTTACGCGTACTTTAAACTCTTGCACTTTGCACTAGTGTAAAGCAGAAATTTATCAAGCAGAGTTAATCAACGACCATGGCATTGTCAGTTACAATAACAACAACAATACCAGTAGCAATAATAATGATGATGATTATTATAATAATGAGGACGGGGATGTACCGTAGGTATCATGGCTTACAAGAGCCCATGCAGATACGAAGGGACAACCTCGAGGACGCAAAGCTCCTGCATCAGTTTGCCCGAGACGTGGAGGACGAGCTGCATTGGCTGTCGGAAAAGGAAGCCCTGGCCGCCAGCAAGGACCTTGGTAGCTCGCTCATGACGGTCCAGCGGCTCCAGAAGAAACATCACGCACTCGAGGCTGAGCTCGTGTCGCGGGAGCCGGTGGTCGCGTCCCTCGCGAGCAGAGCTACCGCGATGGTGAGGAGCGGCCACTTTGCCTCCGAGAAAATCGAGTCCCTCTCGCGTGAGCTGCAGCAGAAGCTTATACATCTCAGGGATCTTGCAAGCATCAGGAAGCTGAGGCTGCTGGACGCGGTCGAGTCGCAAATGGTGGGTATTCTTCGGGCCATTATTATTTATGAATGGCTATTCCACGATGGGACGTGGCTTAATCACGTGGCCTCGTTGCCTGCAGTTTTATGCCGAAGCCGCGGAGGCCGAGCAGTGGATCAAAGAGAAGCAGCCATTATTGAATTCGTCAGATTATGGTAAAGACGAAGACTCGGTTCAGTCGCTGTTTAAGAAGCTCGAAGGCGTCGAGCGCGACTTGTGCGGCTTCACCAGCATCGTGGAGAATTTAAAAAAACTGTCCAAGGGATTGGTCGAGAGGCATCATTTCGATAGCAGAAATATAGCGTACAAGCAGTCGGAAATCGAGCATAAATTCGAAGATCTGCAAAACATGAAAGAGAAAAGATCCCAGAGGTTGCTGGAGAGCGAGAAGTACCACAGGTTCATCATGCAAGCCGATCAAGTCATTGAATGGATCGGCGATCAAACGACGGTCTGTACTCAAAGTTTCATACGTATTATTATTATTATTATTATTATTATCAATTATTATCTGTTATTATCCTATAGCCGACAATGTTTCCCTCCCTAACTCCCTCCCCCTCGCTTACTTGCAGCATTATTATTATTGTTGATCTGGCAAATCATACCCATTCCACTTACTCGACACATTGCTATTCTATAATTCTTTTTGACCCATAAAGGTTGCCGCGTCGGAGGACTACGGCTGTGACGTCGAGCACGTGGAGCTGCTCATTCAAATGTTCGACAATTTCTTGTCCAGCCTAATAAGCAGTGAGAACCGCATGACAGGTATCATCGAAGCAGGTCAGAAGCTCATCGAAGAGAAGAACCCCGAGTCCGGCAAGATTCATATGAAGATCGACGAGACGAAGCAACAATGGGAGGATCTGAAAGAGCTGGCGCACGCGCGACAAGATGCGCTCGCCGGTGCCAAACAAGTACACATGTTTGACCGGACGGCCGATGAAACGATATCGTGGATTCAAGAGAAGGAGGCGAGCCTTGGCTCCGACCACGAGTATGCTCACGACCTGGAAACCATCCAAGCCCTCGTACGTAAACATCAAGGACTCGATACGGATCTTGGCGCGGTCAAGGAGCAGGTCTGTGCAAATTATTTTTATTTTCCAAGCATCGTCGGCGATTTACGGCGATGATCGAGCGTAGGCGCCGACCCTGGCGCTGGCATGGCCACGTTAACGCAACCCTAATCTGCTCAATGTAGGTGGAGTCGGTGATGGAAGAGGCCTCGAGACTGGCCGGTTTGTTCCCCGATGCGACGGAGCACATCGCTGTGAAGCACGAGCAGGTGGACGAGTCGTGGAACGAGCTGCTGGAGAAAGCGGCTCTGCGCAAAAGCAAACTCGTGCAGGCCGAGCAGTTGCAAGCTTACTTCGACGATTATCGGGATCTACAATCCTGGATTAACGAGATGGTGGCAAAGGTGACGGCTCCGGATTTGGCGCGCGACGTCCCCGGTGCCGAGACCCTCATCTCACGACACAATGAGTCGCGAGCCGAGATCGACACGCATGACGACGCCTTCGGCAAGTTCTACGAGACCGGCCAGGCCCTCGTCCAGCAGGGCCACTTCCTCGCCAAGGAGATACAGGAGAAGGTGTCCGTACTCAGACAGAGGAGCCAGATACTCGAGGAGACGTGGCAGCGCAGGAAGCTCATCTACGAGCAGAATCTTGACACGCAGACGTTCAAGCGAGACGCCGAGACACTGGAGAATTGGATCGCGAGCAGGGAGCCAATGTTGAGGGACGACCAGTTCGGCGAGTCCATACCCCAGGTCGAGGAGCTCATTATGAAGCATCAGGATTTTGAAAAGACCATCGAAGCGCAGGAGGAGAAGTTCAGCGCGCTCAAGCGAGTTACAATGGTTAGTCGTGCAGTGAGCCATTAGAAACAATATTGGATTTACCAATGGGGGCGGAGGGGCGTGGCAATTTCTTGATTTTATATCATAACGAGATATCGATGCATACGTATGAATGCGTAATACACTCACTTTGTTTTTCTTTCTTCCCATCAGCTGGAGAAGGCCTTCCAGAAGCAATTGGAGACCGAAGTGGCAGCGCGTCAAGCGGAGAAGGAGCGTGTGGAAAGAGCGCGACTCGAGGAACGTAAGCGCAAGGAGGTGCAGAGGATCACGGAGGAGCGTAAACGTGAGGAAGAAAGACGGAGGTACATCGAGAGTCCGCGGCACATGTCGCGGGACGAGATGAATGGTTCCTTGGATGATCATGAAACAACGCTGAATAGGTAATTGCGGACTTTTTCTTTTTTCTTTTTTATTCGTGCTTTCTTCGCGTCGCTTAACCCTACGAACACTTTTTGTCAATTATTCAAGTAAATCAAACGGTTGCAAATAATCGCTAAACTTTATGGAGGGGAGGGGGGATGATGAGTGAGGTGACACGGATAATAGCATCATGAGTAAAAACTTAAATTTGCACAGGTCCTCCGCTTCAATCAAGGGTGGCGTCAACGATAATTCTCAAAATAACGCCCCGGCCACTAGCAAATACGGAGGTCTGCACCACATGCTGAGCGATCGGCTTCGCCGAAGTACGTTATCCCTTAATCGCTTAATTGTTATTTATAATTGCGCCGAGTTTAAGAATCGTTGCCCACCGTTCACCTAGGCAACGTTTAACGATTGATTTTGTTTAACAATTAGCGTCGGCCGCGGATATCAAACGAGCCGAGAGTATGAAGGTCGATACGAAGAAACCAAAGAGAACGCCAAGCTTCACCACGAGACGAAGGACGCAGAGTTTCAGGAAGCACCAGCGAATCGAAAACGTAGACTCTCTACCACCGGTCGAGATTCAAGGCGTCCTTGAAAGGAAGCACGAGCTCCAAAGCGGCGGCAAAAAAGCCGCAGTCAGATCCTGGAAACCGTATTACACAGGTGATTGATTGCATAGTGATTATTGTCCGCCTACGTATTAGCAAATTTAGCCTGGTTTCTGTAAGGTTTGCGGTAATGAAAAAGTAAAAAGGTATCGGAACGATGACGAGTGGATGGTAATTTTTCCAATAACAGGGACGTTGGGCTTTTGTTATGAGATTATATTGTGTGTATGCGTTGTCCCACCCAGCATGCAGGTGAATACAATATGAAGGACTCGGGCTCGCCCTTAGTAGAGTGTACGATCCTGGCATCGACCAACATTGCCAAACGTTGTCAAACAATAATAAACATTCGCGTCTATTTGCAGTGTTGTGTGGACAACTACTCTGCTTTTTCAAAGACATCGATGACTTGCAGTCGAGTAAAGCGGCAACCGCCCCCATCAATATATTTAATGCCGTATGTGAAAAAGCCGAGGACTATACGAAGCGGAAAAACGTATTCCGATTGAAATGTACGGATGGCTCGGAATTCCTATTTCTCTCGTCGAACAAGCAGGACATGGAGGACTGGGTAAACAAAATATCCTTCCACGCAAAATTGCCACCAAGTCTACAATTGATGAGCTACGATGACTCTCACAAGGTAAAATAATAAAACGTTCAGCAGTCCGGGGATTAATGTTACATAATTAAAATTACATGAATTTCTACTTGCGACGGCCTGTCTTATACAAATGCACTCCGATGCATTTAGAATCCAACCGCCGTGGGCTTTTTCTTTCTTTATTTCTCTCCCCTCCCTCCCATTGCACCATGACAATTGTGAAAAATTACAATTTGTGATGGAATTACAGAATCAGTCAGCCGATCACGTGGAGGACGCACCGTCGACTGGCAGTAGCCACGCATCGACGCCTGAAATGGAACGCAAGAATTCCGTCATTAGACGAGACGTCACCACCAGTCCCAATAAAGCTCAAGCCGAATTCGCTCCCCAATCGCAGCAGCAGCAGCAGCAGCAGGGTCACCACCACCAACATCACCAACACCACCATCATAACATCCATCATCAGCATCAACAGCATCACAATAAAAAGCGACACGATTCCAATCGCAATCCCGACAACGTAGGTCTACCAAGGTCACCTCTTGATTCTCAACCTCAAAAGGAGTTCCTGCAGATGTATATGCAGCAGCAGCATCAACAACAACAGCAACAGCAGCACCTTCATCACCACACAATGCAGCAGCAGCAGCAAGTCAGATCTCACGAGCAGCAGTACATGATGCATCCGAGCGAGAAGCCGCCAATTCCTCCAAGAGGCGCTCCACCACCAGTTCCCGCGAGATCACCCAGTTTTGAGAATACGGTGGCACTGAGACGCAATGGTGCGCTGACTTGTTAAAGCTTTTCCAAAATTTTCTGCCCTTTGGCTTATTATCGTGCATATAATGCGTGCCCGTCTGGATAATTTTGAATCTGACAGAGACAAAGATCGAAATGGCGAAAGCCAGGGTGATGTCACTAATCTTCGCACTCGTATAACCAAAAATAAGATTTAAATTCAGAATTTTAAGCGCTGTGAATTGATTATTGAGAGGGCTTAGCGAATCTGATGAAGTGAAACTTTTAATGATCCAACGTCGCGATCGAGTCGTTACGCGTTTATTGGAGATCCGTGCGAACAAATACGTGCAGTCGAGGGATGAGTTTTATAAAATTTTGCAATCAGGTGGAGAAAAATGATTGGGAGGACGCGTCATCGAAAATCATCTCTTTAAGAAAGAATTTACGATCTCTCATCTCTCGGCTTTTTTAAGAGGCAAACTTCATCATATCTACAACAAATAATATTCATACAATGCAACGGAGAGTGTTTCGTCAACGTGCTTGATACTACAGAGATTTATATATGATAATAATTGCCGGCTATTTGATTGATTTTCATTGACATCATCGTGGCTTTCTCCCTCAATTGCCATTCATTGCATTTTATATTTTAGGAAAGCCTACATTGAGATTGATCAAATTATTACCAGACGTTCAAATCCATTTCTCACACACGCGAGCACACAGACAGACAGACAGACAGACAGACAGTCTTCTATTTCTATCTGCTCCCATGTTGTTCCGTATTATACTTTATCGAACGTGTTTGTCCGTATAGACGTCGAACATTATGCGCCGCAAACAAGACCACAGTCTTATCAACCACCGAGCGCAAACATGAATCTAAATGGTACGTCTGGTCAATATGCCACGAATGACAATAATTGGCATAGACAGTCGAATGTCGAACACAATTCACACAATCAGCAACAAGGTATACGCATTGCCAGTAAAATGATTGTTCCAAAATGTTTTATCAAGTCTTTGTCACTTTGGAACGGCAAGATGTTAATCTCATACGTGTTTCTTTCTCACTTTCCTTAGAAATAGTGCCACCGCTGCCGTCGACTGCCCCTCCGCCCGCGAATAAAATAACCCACTGGAACAGCTCGCACGATAGTGGTCAGTTTCCTTTCTCTTTATTAATCTCATTTTATTAAGCGGCAGTCGTCAGCTAACGTCTTGTTATTTTTCTTTATTTCTCTTTTAGCTTATGGAAATATACCGGTGAACTCGAGACAGGTGAGTAAGAGCTAATATTATATAATAATCGAGCAATCCCCTCGCGTTTCCCCTCGTTCGGGCATTAAAATAAGCAAGAGAATCTCGGTGAGAGATAGTGATTGTGATTAAACCCGTGTCGGTCGAGTCGATTGGCTTACGTTCCTAGTGCCGTGAGCAGCCTCCATCCTAATCAGCAAATCGCCTTAATTTTATTTATTTTTTTCTTCTTTTGTTCTCTTCGTCTCATGTTCGTGAAGATGAGCGGACAGCACCAAATGAATACATTTACTGGGAGGCCGAACTCGTTGCCGCCTTACGTGGCGCCGCCAATGGCGTCGTTGCCGACGGTACCGCCGACGATTACGGTGGTGGACGGTGCCGGGAGGAGACCTTCCGAGAGTGGTTCGGAGAGCGAGCAGAGCTTCGGCGGTTCGCGTAAGGATCGCGATTTTAAGAAAACTTCGGTATTGAGTAATTTGTTCGGTAGGCGCAAGAAGTCCTCGCAACAATAATTATATACGTATTTGCTATCATCAGCTGGACTGCGAGATTATTATTATTTTTTTTAATTAAGATTTCTCGTAAGCTTGTCAGATGAGATTGCAATCTAACCTTCGCACGAGGACTTTTGATTATTTTAGATTATTTTTATTTGCATAACGTGAAATTTAATAGCCTGGAGGAGGTCTTTAGTGTAGGATTTGAATCTTGTGTATAATTATTGAAATTCTTCTTGAACATTTCATTTGTTTATCGACTTTTAAAAGAATTTTTTTTTTTTATCATTATTATTATTGTCATTATCATTATTATTATGATTAATATTATTAATATTATAATATAATTTTTTATTATTAATATCCTTTGTTGATTATGATAAAGTGACTAATGATTATCGAAGTTACGTGAAAGAAGTCATTATAAATTCCAATTCAAGCGTATCTTGAGTCTGGTAACGAGAGAGAGAGAAAGAGAGATATGGTGATCAATGATTTTCTAGAGCAACCATTTAAGAAGCCAATAAGTAACAGTAATAAATAAAGATAGAGCAATCAAAACTCATCAACAACAATAAGTAAGTGAATGTAGAACACACACACACTGGCTTAAAATGTACCTGACCATGTAATTGAAAAGAAAATAAGTTTATAAACTCGACTGTAGCGCCAGAGATTTGTATGTTTATTTTGTAGATGATTTAATATATGTTTCAAAATGTTAAGAAAAAAAAAAATAAAAAAAAAATGTATATTCATGGCTACTATTCGGGAACAATTAATGTATTAAGATGTATGTTGTATGAAATCAAATTAATATAATATAGTTTTGGAATATCAAAAAGCTTAATTTTTGTAAGAATGAAACACCATTGTGAGCTATAACGTGTAAAATGTGTGCTTAAATAATTATATAATATGCATATAGTCCTATATTAAATTTTTTTTTTACTATTTATGCTATCCTTTGGTGTTGTACTAATACATTGTAAGAATTTCATAATCAAGTCTAATTAATAAAGACGTGACTGATTTAAATTTCTATGCGAGTATTCATTTTCTCTATGATACATCACACGGATGTGCTGATACGCTTTTACGGATTATTTTTAATTGATTAAAGCATTATTTCATCATTTGCAGAACCGTAACCAGCGTCAAATTATCGATATTTGTATCCTTAATGCTTAAGCAAGTAGATATTTTTTTTAGGATGAAAGTGCGCCGAAAAAGGGCAGATAAAGGAAATTTTTTATCAATAATGTTGAAGAGCAGCTGATTTGTTCCTACGAATTTTCAATTCAAACTTATATATATATATATATAGAGAGAGATAAAACGAACACACGCATATATTATATATATACGTAGCGAAATATTTGACAAATTTTTTATACACATTAAAAAAAACTTATAAGCTTTATTGAAATTTATTGTTTTTAAAAGCAAAATTTCAGTGTATATTGTCTATATTTGTATTTATATGCTATTGTGAAAATTTTTTCAACACAACACGTCCAATGTAAGTATTTAATTTTTTAATAAGTTTACTGCAATATTTTTATTCATTTTTTTATATAAATAATTTCGAAGAAAATGTATACAGAGTTTATGATTTCCTTCATTTTTATTACTTACCGTACATTTCCAACTTTTTTTCTTGATGAAATTTTCTGATATTACATTTACGAAAAGAGATAAATGTTGTAAAACCACTATTTTTTCGGCTTAAAGTTAGACTTAATACATGAGAATAAGTAACTTTTATGGGATTTTAAAAGTCAAATACACAAGCGACTTAATTAAATAAATAGACAATTATGTCTCGAGTACAAATGAGGCGAGCTTATGCTCATTTTAAATAATGAAATTTAGATTTTATGAACATCATAATGGCAACACATTGACGAATATCTGAATATAAAAATTTAACTGTGATGAGCAAAAGGTAGACATATTAACTTTTAATATTCAACGTAAAGCATTCACAATAAATTATTTATATCCTCGTGCGAGTTGGAATTAACTAATTGGCCGTTCAGAAATGTATTTCGTTCCGTTAGTTTCGATTGAGCAATAATAAGTCAGTAAACGTACTGGTATTACCTTCATCCACAGACACTCTTGTTTGCATTCATTGAAAATTAAATGACAATTTCAAGTGGATTTCATTGTGACCAATTAATTTGCAACGTAAGTTAATCATTTGCGTAATATCAGTCGCTTATTAGCATCTATCTGTAATATTGTGCAATGGTGCTTGATTTCAGGAGCGATAGATAGCAAATATATCGCGTTTTACTAGTAATAGAGGAATTACAAACTATTTGCCATACCGATGAATATTTGATATGAGAAAGAAAAGACAAAATTTCACTTTAATATTATACTTCGAAATGACGAATGAATGAATAAGGATTCACGTAATGAGTTCTTGTTGCTGTAAAATACCTCGTTAATACGGTAAATGGAGGAAACCTTAAGTATAATACGTATGAATGATCCTCAATAAATACTTGATTACAATGATGTAATGTATAATTTACATTGTTCTTTATATATATATATATATATATATATATATATATATATTGATAATGCATTACCTACATGTACGTGTTGCAATATATACACGTATAAATTAAAATAAATAAAACAGTAAGTGAAAGAGCGAAGTTGGCGAAAATAAATCAAGTTTAATATATTTGATTAGATCAATCAACAAGATAAAGCACCGAAGCCGCTACGATTACTATTGACGTTATATCCATAAAATTAAAGCACAATAGGATTTATCAGCATTGTATCTGCCCGTAACACGTCTTAAGACTTCGAAGATGAGACGATACTGGTGCTTATGCTCGTGAAACATGATGTTGCTAATGATTGGATGCATCCAAAGTCGTAATGGTTGTGCGATAGTTGTGACGGCAATGATAAAAGGCGCGTTTGGGGAAAAAGTATAATGGCAGAGGGTGATGTTTAGAAACGAATGTACAACATCGTTGGATGCCGAGAATATTCTGTAATCTGTAGACTTGAAATATCATCCATGAGTTGAAACTGGCAATTTAAATGTTTACTTAAACAAGTAAAGTAAAAATAACAAAATGTTCGTTTTGTAAATACTCGAGCAAATTATAATGAAGTTTAAATGATACTTGCCTTTTTATTGTTATCAAAGTACGACTTAGTTAATTAGCTAATCATAAAATTTATTGTATAAAAGTAATACTTATTTATAATATTACACAGGTAGTTTGTATTGAAAATGGTTAATCGTTACTCGATAGAAAATAGAATAATTGACATTTGAAATATTAGCATTTACAATTGGAAAGTCATATCCAAATTGACGTATTTATCGATTATAAATCATTGAATTAAGGTGAAATTAAAAAAAATTTTTCTTCTTTCAAACAATGCCTTAATAAATTACAATCAACGGTTATACAGTGATTATACAAATCGTTGAATTTCATTATTCATAAATTATTTTTTTTCTTTTTTTATTTATCGTCAATTACATTCTTATTATGCTATGGTTTTATTTGTTATTTTGAATTATTATGCGATTCGATGAAAAATAATTTAAGCTTAATATCGATATCACAAATAATCAATTCCCATAAGATTCTCGTATAGAATTTTATAAATTTACCAAATGGTCGTCCTTTATATTGTATTAATGTAGAAAGAATAATGAAATTTCAATAGTATTTATTCATGTCAAAATCATAAATTTTTTTTTTTTTTTTTTTTTTTTTTTTTTTTTTATTATTTAAAATACAAATAGCTTATAACTTGTAACTGTTTTAAATTCTCATAATTACAAATATTTAAACTATATTATATTGTATTCTTAAAAATCGTAACCTAATTGTACATGTATATATTAATTTGTAATTATTTTTACAATGTCTTTTTTTCACTTTTGTTTATTTTTTTTTTGTTTTTTTTTTTGTTTTTTGGTTTTTTGTTTTTTTTTTGTTTTTTGGTTTTTTGTTTTATTTAACACGAATTAGATACACTTTTCAGATATTGAGGGGGGGGTGGGGTGAAAGGAGAGAGAGAGAGAGAGAGAGAGAGAGAGAGAGAGAGAAGAAAATAAACATCATTCTCATCACGTTGTTATATAAAAAGAGCAATTGTATTTACATTTAATAACAAATATTTACTTATACGTTAAGAGAATAAGAAATATAATATAAAATGTTAATGGTTAATTTTACTTAAAGCCATAATGAAGAGATTTGCATTTATGTGCAAGGGTACGAGCGAATAGATTCATCGGCTATTCCGCACTATCATATTTATTTGCAAATAGAGATGGAATCATTGTATAACAGTAACGACAAGAATGTAACCCTTCACTTACTGGAAAAGTCGCAAGAAACTAGTAAATTAAATAGTAAACGCAGTGTAAATGGTCATAAAACATTAGAAATTGTTTAAAAGATGACTTAACATTTTTGTAAATACAAAGATTATTGATAGAGAAATCAGAAGGATGAAAACAAGTGTTACAAGTAAATGTTTGTACGTAGTATAAGATGTTGACTGTTAAACCATAATCTTTATAAGTAATTTCGAATATTCAATGTCAAAATTAGAAATCAATAAACATCCGAAGGTCTAATAATACACATAGAAAACGAAAGGTTCAATTAATCTTTATCCTTACATCTCTTGATTAATTGTCAAGGCTAGGAGTTATGCTTCTAGCAATCCTTGAAAAATTTATAATCAATACTTACTACTGAATATGTTAATCGAGTGGATCGGTTTAAAAATTTTTTTGCAGCCATCGAATATTCTTAATAGTTCTTAAATGTTTTTGTTCCTTTTTTTTCATCCACTTTGGCGTCTTTCATCGTTAGATTTGGTATTCAATCCCGGTATCTTAAATAAATAAATAAATAAATTTTCCTTAATTTCTTCGACTCGTACAATATTAATTAAATATTTTCTCTGCTTTAACCACATTGATTATTATTGTTTCAAAAAAGTTAAGCGATTCATTTATTTATTATGTGACAATGGAAATTTCGTGTCAAAATGTTTTATTTATTTTTGTTTTGTTTTTGCTTTTTATACTAAAATGCTACAAATTATTCGATTATTTCCAATTTTTATTGTATATTTAATGGTGGGGTCGTGGTCAGGAAGGGAGGGAGAATTTCATTCTTTTTTTCATTCATTTTTTTTTTCAAACAATAAAAGTCAGATTTTTAAATTTGCCTATTATTATTATCTCGTTTCGTCTTTAGTTCATTATCATTATCATTGAAAATGATCGATCGAAATTTATATATAAAAATTTATTTAGTATTTCTTTGAAATGCCATTATAATATTGATACTCGTTTCGCGCTTTTTTTCTTTTTCTTTTTCTTCTTCCTCTTCTTCTTCTTCTTCTTCTTCTTCTTCTTCTTCTTCTTCAATGTTTAGCTCTGATTAGTCAATATGCATAAACACACATACGTCTCGGGAACGTAACTTACACACAGTAAGGAATTAATTATTCTGTAATTAATAAACCTAATTTTTCCGCTATATTATTTACTTATTAGAAAGTCTCATTATTAAAAGCCGCTTGTTATCAAAATAGAAAATAAATAAATAAATAAAAGGAACCACAATTATCTCGTGCTATCTCCCCTCATTTCGGAATATATTAAAACTGGCTTCGTCGCAAGTGTCTTTCAAGCATAAATTTTCTTAACCCATCTGGACCAAATATTGCAATTATATCGGATAACTAATTTCGTATCTTATATTTATCTCCATCCACGATGCTTATTATCCATGTCTATCCCAAGAATTCATACAGGCGCATTTGACCTTCCGATAAGCTGAACTTACAAATATTGATTCATTACTTTCCCGATTCCAATTGACACGCGTCATTTATTTATAATGCATTGGCAATTGTTCTTTATGACTCGTCGTGACGTAAACCCTGTTACCCTATTAATTACGTACAAGTTAGGCGGCAACACGGCCATATGAACTCGTGCTAGTTTACCGAAATTTTGCGAAAATTCATAATATTGAGGAGAGGTAAGCTGCTCTTGCTCCAATCAATCTCACTAATCTTAATACACCTTTTATTTGCTTCCTATTGATGGGCGGGGGGAGGAGGGGGGATCATCCCAAAATTCTGTGTGTGCATGTGCGGGGTGCAAAATTTACGTTCACAACCACTTGCTTATTGAAATTGGACACTACTGTTAAGGTATGTACGTTGATGTAGCGTTACCGTGGATTAGAGAGGATCGAAAGTACTCCGAAAGACGTTGATTTCATTTATTCGACGCTTTTTAATTAATTTTTACTAATAAATGGATGTAGAATAAAACTTTACAGCTTAAAGGATTATTTAAAGACATGACAACGAGATGGAGAAGAAAAAAGAAGGAGTATTTATTTGATTATTTTCAAAGAATGAAATAAAATGTGATTTTATTTTCTAAATATTTAGTCATTCCCTCGAGTTTCCTTCCAAAATTCACAATTACTAATGAAAATGGCACGTATATTTTGTATCTAAAACATTGAGGTTAAGCTTAAAATGAGAAAAACTTTTAAAAATAAGTAAAATTAAAACACATTTTATTTATGAAAAAAAAACCTTATATACGAAATTTAAAATAAACAAATCCATTTGCATTTTATAGAAGTTCGATAAAACATTGTGCGCATGCAAATGAAAATTAATCGAGACATTTATTGAAAAAACTTGCGACATAATAGATATAAATATCGTGTAATGTGTAAAAATCTTCCAGTGGTTACTTAGGTGGGCGGATGGAGGGGGGACTGGCGTGTGCGCACGTAGGTGTACGTGTGTGTGTACGTGTGTGTGTGCGCGCGCGCGCGCGCACCAGTGTGCCTGAGTGCGTGTTATTACCTTTCGTCATAGTGAACCCAGTAAGTTTAGGCGATTCACCAGTAAATACTAATTATACAGTCCAAAACCAATATACTTCTCAAAGCACTTATATAAAATCTTTATTCGGAAGATACATGTGTAGTAGACTGAGCGCAGATCTTATAGTTAAATAAAAAAAAAAAAGAAAAAAGAAAGAAAGAAAAAGAAAAAACAAGAATACTTAAAGACCGAGAGAAAGTATTTAAATAGAAATATACAAACGAAATAGAATTCAATATCTTTTTGTCATCTATTGGCAGCAAATTTTGTCACTTTGTCAACATCATTCTTTAATGCACCTGCCATTTGCTAAAATTTACAACTGTATAATCAACTTCATTTGCATTTTTAAAGCTCTTAGTAGTCACCAGATTTTATTTATTTTTTTTTTTCGTCTCTTAAAATATAAACAAACTTGCATGTCTTAGCTATAGAAAGAAAAAAAATAAGAAAAAAAAAAAGAAGTAAATATTGCTTATAACACAGAGACAGTAGACGCTTCCAAAGTAAAATCGATCACATATTGTAGATCAATTTTCTGACGGATCGCATTGTGACTGCGACTGTGTTTCCCACGAATTGGTGATTGTCACAGAAAAAAGCAGGAAAGGAGCAAACGCGAGGACGCGAGGGCGGGAGGACGCCTCTTATTTATTTAAAGGATCAACAATTATCAATCAATCCCAAGACGTTTATTTATTTTTATCTCTCGCAAATTATTACACATTTAATAATGATTTATCATTCATTTGCATCTCGGCTCAACGAATTAAAAATTACGTATCAAGATAAAGGTTGTATGATTAGTTATTGCTCTTGGATCCACTTTTTTCTGTCATTTACAAGAAATCATCAAAACACCGCGTCGCAACACGAAGAGTCATGAAGGTGTTGTTTAAGTTTTGTCACTGTTATTTATAAACTACGCAAATAAGGCAAAGTCAATAATGTCAACGAAGCCATAACGCGATCTACATCCGATCAATATCCGACACACTTAACAAAATATACCTAATCTACTTTAAAAATTATGGATCTTGTGCGCCTTATAAAGAGAATTCGCATTTTAGCATCGTGTACAATGTATTGTCTCCGTCTTATCAATCTAACTTGGTATATTATTACATACACTGTTGTGTGTATTTATTTAAAATGCGCCTATTTTTCTTTCCATTCCTTTGTTTTTTGGGTTGGGGTTGGGGTTGGGGTTGGGTTGGAGTGAGGTGGTGGTAGTGGTGGTGGCGGGAGGGAGGGAGGGAGGAAGGATTGTTGTCATTCTTTTTTTTTTATTATTATTTTTTTTCTTTTTTAAATAAATTTATATATTTTGTTTGTTTATTATTCTAAAGTTGGATCAGCTGTTGTTGCCCAGTGAAAACTGCCTTCTGTCACAACACAATTAATACTTGCATGGCGGATTGACATGTATTTGAACTTGGTTGATCTCTCCCATATACTTTTATCATTTATTGTTTCGAAAGTGTTTTCTTTCCTATCGGCGCTCGGACATTACGATTCATGCCCAATTTATCGCGAGACCTCAAATTCAAGTGGCTATATTCTTATCACTCGTTCAACCATCCCCAATTTATAAAATGTTCCAAGTCGTACGACAGAAATGAGAAACAAATTACTACGGTTTAAACACATTTACAACATACTTGCCTTTGTTTATTAATAATACTTCTACTTTAATATATAGTATTCTAAAAGAAAATCGCTTGATAAATCATCCCGTATTTTATACAAATATTATATAGTGGTGGGTAAAAACAAGTACCATTGCTCAAGCCATGCCTCAAACACGTATGGGTATTATTAAAAAACTAAATAATAATAAAGATTATTGGACAATGAACTTGATTTCATTCGATTCGCACTCGCATGCGTCTAACGCTCGTACAATTTATTGAAGCGATTTTAACGTAGAATCCAATATTTCTTTGCGAATTAAGAAAGTAAGACTCGCGCTTTCGCTCCAGTTATTATTATATATCACCATTGTTCCCTAATGTCAAGCATCGTGACTTGGATCATCCAAAAATATGATTGAATTTGATAAAGTGTAGTTCGCTGTCAATACAGCATGTGGCTCTTTATTTTGGGCGTCTTTAATTTTGTGTTTGGGCTTTACCTCGAGGTGCATAATTACTACGATTTCTCTGATTTCCGCGGAATTGGCCACCGCCGCGTCCACTTCCACCCCTTTCCCCGCGTGGGCCGCCTCTCGGTTGGTTGGTCGTCGACCTCTTGAAGCCGCTATTATAGCCGGTGCTGTTGCCTTCGCCATTATTGCTCCAGTTGCGTTGGTATCCATTTTGATAGTTTCCATCGTTGTTGCGATAATACGTTCCTGCAAACATCGGGTGCCATTTCAATTTCACGTTTCTCCTCATCGCATCGACCCCCAATTACGCTTTTTACGGATATATAGTCGCACGATCTCATACACAAATTCCATCGATAATACGATCATACAACATTGCCCAACAACTATTATACATGCATATATATATATATATATATGTAAACACATATTAAATGCATTAATTTTCATTTAAGCTGTTCTCCGTAATCGCTATTACTTATTGTTAAATCTGCCTCGATTGTAAAGAGGTAAAGGGAGGGGGGGGGGAGGCTATATTACGAGTACGCGTATCGTTTTAATTTTTAAAGGGTGGCACCTATCATCAACATCATTGTCATTATTTCTCTATTTGTCTCTCGAGCGCTCGCGCAACCGCGCGTACGTCACACGGTCATTTAGGAATTATTTTAATTTTCTTTTCTTCGCGAAAATGCAATGATGCCCAGCAAGCCACAAAAACAAAGGAAAACAGAACGAAATTCGCGATTACCTTAATGGCTTATCTGGCAGATAAAAGGACTGTTTTGCACACGACCATTAAAAGCGCGCTGATAACGAGTGAAAATGTCATTCAACGCACCTCTACCATTTTGCTGATAACTTCCTCGTCCTCTGTTGCTATAGCCGTTGGAATTTCCGCGTCGGCCACCGCGACCTCGGAAATTACTTCGCTGTTGATCGCCCCAGGGCTGCTGGTTGCTTTGCATTTGCTGCGAATCTTGAATCGACTGAGGCTCGACCTGGCTCCAATCGCCGCCCGCACTCTCCGACATCTGTCCCCAGTTGGGCGTGCTGTTATTCTGACCGACGTCGCCCTCCCCAACGCCGGACTCGCTCGTGCCCTTCTCCTGGAGGCCATCCTAAAGAAACGAAGAGCGAACGTTAAATTAAGGGACTCGATAGGCGCCTCCTTCTACAACTCCTTCTACTACTACTACTAACCCCTCCCTCCCGCCCCATCACTCGCGAACCCATCATCCCCACACCCACCAATCACGACCACCGTTACCAACGGCTTTATGTCCTAAGGAATAGTCATATACGCACGTGCATGTCGTCCTTTTGTGGAACCAGCGACTCCTGCTGCGACATCGGATCGAACGTCTGGGCCTGCGGCTGAAAGCTGCCCGCATTCTGCGAATTAAATTGCATGCCCGTCTGATGCGACGGAGGCATCGGAATAGGCGGGGGTGGATTGGCATTCCCAAAGCCCTGAATGTGCGACATATCTTGGGGCGACTGATGCTGGTACATCACCTGCGACACCCCGTCCAAATTAGCGACGATTGAGAAATCAGTGGGACAGTGGTGACACGGGGATGGGTAGACGACTGGTAAAGGATGACTGAGGATTACCTGAGCTGGTACGACGGGAGGGCCGGCGAACGACTGATTTGTAAACGTCTGAGTAGGGATTGGAGTATTGAGAGTGACGGGTGCCACGACAGTCACTGCGCTAGGAATGTGAGTTACGACTGGCGGCGCTTGGGACGCGACGACTTCGGGCGCGTCGAGCTCGGACTCCTGGAGAAAAAAGAAGTTCGGTGCTGGGCCAATGACGTCGTTTATCCTCGGGGCAGGGGCCGGGGTTTGCACTTGGGGCGGCGGCTGCTGCTGCTGCTGCTGCTGTTGCTGTTGCTGCTGTTGAGGTTGTTGTTGCTGTTGTTGCTGGATCTGCGGACTCGGCACGTAGGCGGCGCTGTTTGTGTAATACGAGGCGTCGACCGGAACTTGTTGAATGGATGGAATGGGCTGCGTCACAACTGGAATAGGAGTTGCGACAGCGGGGGCCCCCGCGACGACGGGAATGGCGGCCACTTGAACGGGGTAGGCTTGCATCTGCAAGAGTGCCTCTGGTTGCGACGGTGGCGGAATGTGTGTGTCACTACTGTTGTAATCATCGTCGATGGACTGGGGGAGGTGCTCGTTGCCAATTTGTGGGTCGACCGCTCCTTGCGTCACCTGCGCATGCACGCACGCACAAAACGAGCGAGGCGAGAAAAAAAGATAGACAGGGTGAGCTAGTGGGTGAGAGTGAAAGTAAGAGAAAGAGAGAGTGAGAGAAAGAGAGAGAGAGAGAGAGAGAGAGAGAGAAAGAGAGAAAGAGAGAGTGAGAGAAAGAGAGAGAGAGAGAGAGAGAGAGAGAGATAAACAGGAGTATAACACGATTAACCTACATCTTCGACGACCACGTCAATCTCCTGAACTTGATCAAAGTAACCGCACTGGGTTATGGACGTTATGATTTCTTTCAGCTTGGAATAGGTTGTACCCACCACGTCCCTCGGCCTCCCGTCCACAATGAGGACATAATGCTCGGCGACCTTGTGCGCTTGCTGAAGGAAGGTCAAGTCGCTCTCTTGGCGATCGTGTTTCAGCATAATTTCGTTGTACAGGTCATCCAGGTACTTGAGGTCCTCCTCCGCAATTTTGATGGCGCCGTTCACTCCGTTGATAAAATCGTCGCGCACTCCCTGAGCTCCCATGTTCATCAGGGTATCCTGAATCAGAAGGACCTCCCGCACCTGCGAAAGAAGTTGAAGGTGATACAGCAACTCGGGCGAGCCCGGCCATGGCCGGCATTGTCAAACTACCACACTAACCTTGCTTATGTCTTGCTGCATCCTCTCCGAGGCCTCCTTCCTCGCGAGCTTCTTCTGCTGCTTCGCCGCGTCATTGGCAATGCCGACGATCTGCTTGTAGAGCTCGCGCGTGATGTCCAAGGTCTGCTGCACTTCGTCATACTTGGCGACGGCGGTCTTCTGGTCGGCGTGGAGCTCGCCACCATTTTTCACGATGTCCCTGTACGACTCGAGCTTACCCTGCGCACGATTATCAAATTGTCGATATAAAAAAAAAAAAAACGTGGTCTATGGGCCCGCGGGTGCCGGGATGTCTCGTCCGAGGAGACGGTGGCGGTTTTGGAAGCGGTAGCAGAGGTGAAGATGAGCGAGTGGCGGTTGTGGCTGGGGTGCGTGCACGTCGAGGGATGAAGTAAGGAAGGGGACGGGGACGAGGTCGGAGACGATGACGGGGACGGGGACGAGAACGGAGATAGAGATGGGGTGATGGAAAAAATGAGAGAGGGAGAGGGGACGAGGGAGCTGGGGGTCGGGGTGGAGAGAGCGAGTCAGGGCGACGGGGAGAGACGAAGAGAAAGAGACAAAAAGTGAAATGTAGGGGGGGGGGGAGGTGGAGGAAGAATGAAAAGCGAGGATGGGAGGACCGCAGGCCGGGGTCGGGACCGGAGCCGGGGCCGGCACTCGAGTTCCCGGTAGCTCGAGTCTCCGTGGACGGGTGCCAGGTCGGCCTTAGCGCCTCCAGCGCGCGAGCACATGGCGCAGAGGCTAACATGGCGGCGGCGGTGGCCGTCGAGCGCAGGCACAAGCCCACGGAGTCCGGCTCCTGACAGTCGAGGTCGACTTACCTTGCGCTTCTCGAGGTTCCGTATTTTGTGCTCGATGACGATGATCGCTTGTCGAATTGGTTCCACGGCCTCCGTAGAGGCCTGCTTCTCTAGTTTGGGGTTGGCAGAAGGCATCCTTCACGGGCAACAAACGCGAACTGGGACCCAGGCTCGCTCGCTCACTCGCTCGCTCTCTCACTCTCTCGCTCTCTCTTCCCCTCTATCGCGCGCGCTCGCTCGCTCGTGTTAGCTCGCACTCTCCCGCTTCTTCACTTGCAGGCTCTTATGCGCGCGCGAGCGCGTACTCGTTCGTGTATTTACGCACACCCACACGCACTCGTACTACGGCACATACGCGACCGCATAAAGTCGTGGCCCCCTCCCAGTCCTATTAGTACACGCGCGCACATACACTCGCTCGCATGCTCTTTCTCTCTCTTTCTCTCTCTCTCTCTCTCTGTCTCTCTCGCTCGCGGGTCTTGTCTCAGCGCGGCGCACGGGCTGCTTGGCTCCAGGAGGGCGCCGAGCGCTAACCGGCGCGCAAGTCTCCGCGGGAAGCTGTCGCGCATGCGCCCCGCGCACTTTTACTTTTCTTTCGCGCGAGCGCTTTGTTGTCTTCCTCAGCAAGCGGACGGCTCATCGAGGATCCGGTGTGCGAGGACTGTGTACGAAGATCGGATTACTATCTATCTATCTCTCTCAATGTCCAAGACCGTATTTCCAGACTCGCACGCGCCCCCGTTCCCGAACCGCCGCCGCTGGCGCCCCCTCCCGCTACGCCCGACGCCTTCCGACGCCTCGTCCAGCATTATACCGCACCGTCTCGCCCTGCCCGCCCCTCGTCCGTCGGCCAACTCCGGAAGGAGTAGTCGCCCGTTGGCTTATAGGTAAATTTGCCGAGAGACTCGGACAGCCTTGTGACTCCTCTTCGTTGTGTTCGTTGTGGCGCGTTGACCCGACGATTCATCGTCGCTCCTCTCCTTACCAACTGTCTTAGTTGGATTAAGCTTATCGCGGCGATGCGTGACGCTTAATTTTCTTCCTTCCGTCTTCTTCGAAATAAACTCGCTGCTGGCATCGTGCGTTCCAATATCCCGACTCGTCGTCCTTAAACTCGATCCTCGACCGGCTCCTTCTCCCTAAATCCAACAATCTTCGAGCAATTAACGAGCACATAAAAATTTATAATGTCGCGCGCTTATTCTCGGGGTACTTGCCAGTGGGAGATAAAATGGGATTTGGCCGGGTTGCGATTGCCGAGATGCCGTTTCAATTTGTCTTTTTAAATATTGCCGTTCCGTTCGATAGACGTGGATCACGCGAGGAGCTTATTTTTTTGGCCTTGTAAGTTATTATCGATAAGCGAGAGTGGGTGAGCTTGGGCGGGGAGGGGGCCGGGCGGGATGCGCACGAATGAATTTTTCGAATGACGAGACAATTGTTGAATCGCTATTATTGCAATGTTTAATGGGCATAATTTGCTTGTCGGCGACAATGTAAATTGGTGATAAGTATCGAGCAGCTACAAATGTCAATGAACAAACGATCGATCGAGCTATGTCAAAAGTTAAAAATGTATGTGCGACAATCCAAATTTCAGTATTTGCTATTGTCGATTGATTTGCAGGGCAAACAGTCCCCTTAAAATTTGGATAATCCAAATGTCAAATAATGGCCTTTTTATCCCTCTTTTTCATAGACGGACATTGTTTGCTGTCAATACAATGAATTATTATTCAATGCTAGAGGATTATTTATTAGGATTTAAATAAAAAGAAAAAAGAAAAAACAAAATTTTACGGACGAATGGAATGTTCTTTTTTTTTTTTGTTTATTCTTCCCATTTGTTCTTTTCGTTACTTTTCACAGGATGGTTTTGCAATGCACGAGTAGTTATGTGCTGTGCAAAGCGAATTGTCGGCTAAGTGTTGGCTATTTTTTCAGCAATGATAAATACAATTTCATAATAAATTTTTTTATGAAAATGTCGATACTGTGAATTGGTGAGAGTGGGGCAGAGGGGGGGCGTGGAGTGGGGCTTGCGTCAATCATATTATTGTCAGGAACAAAGTTTATTATTCGTTCGATTGATGGAACAATTCGTTAACTTATATCCACTTAATATCAAAAATATTTCTTATTCTGTGCTCGCTGTTATCAAATATTTTCTATATTGCTGTAGAAGAGACGAATGTTCCATTTAATAGAATCAGCAGTTGGATTAAATGGATCGAAAACTTCATTGAAACTCAAACACTAATTTTTGCGTATGAATTTAGTGGATACATAAATTATGTAATTATCGAGGGCATCAAATTCATAAAAACATAATTACAACGGATAATTGAATGTAGATATTTGCTTGTTTGCTTTGTTTTTTATTCATAAAGTTTATTGTGTCAATAGGAACTAGATTAAGAATATTCCAATAATAATAAAAAATATAAAATTTACTATTAAATTACAATTTTAATTATTATTATTTATATATCGGATCTCGATAGAACAAGTGATAAATTATATTTTTTCGATCATTCGCACAATGATTTTTCATTGAAAAACGTCAGTTACGAATGTATGACCTTTGTCATGCCCTACCGATACTTCAATTATCTAAGGATCACATTATTTGAATATCTTGAATAATGTTAATGGCAATAAATATTCTTAAATTATTACAATCATATTACGTACATACAAGTTACAATTTTCATTTTTAAATACGTGAGTAACTTTGTCAAAAATTTATCTTATCGCTACTACCTAATTAAATAATAAGATAAATTTTCGATTATTAATGCTTAATTCATTTTTAAAATAATGTAATAATAATAAGCATCATTTCGACGTTTTATTAGTCCACATTAAGGAAAAAATATTATTTGTATTGCTCTTGTTAACGCTCAACTAATTCCTCCCATTACTCTACTACTAAAATATAATATCTTTCGTCGTTTGCTAATTACCATATGTATAAAGCGATAATCATTTGAAAAGTCAAGTTAAAATTTTTAATAAGAGTTAAATTTTTAAGAATAGCTTGTATGGATGGTATTTTGTTTGAAACATAAAGAATAAAAAATAGAAGAAGAAAAAACACAGAAGCTACACTTTCATCGATCTTTTTACACACACACGCACGCGCGCGCGCACGCATACACATTTTTTATATTTAAGGAACAATGTTAATTATTCGAAACATATTTATTAAACGAATTCGTGCAATTATGTAAAGTTCAACTTTACATAAAATTTATTTCAACGATGTTTTAAAATTACGAATATCAATGGTCATTACAAGAGAGAGATACGGCTGCGTACTACATTAATTGATATATTTAATTAAATGAAATTAGTAATACGTCGGACGATATCCCTTCACTCATCTAGCATTAATGGGATTTATCATGGATTTAACAATTTCAGCGCATCATTTACGTTCAATACAAAATTAACGATAATTAAAGTGACAATTAAATCAACCTCGCCGTTTTCTTTTATTTATGGTATGCCGTTTATTCGTCATTTTCATGTGGAATATTATGTTTAATGGAAGAGTTGATTGTTTAAAAAAAAAACTGTACGATGAATTTTCTTCTATAGTAAATAAATTGTTTATGATTGAGAATACACTAATTTATTGTCGTACAGAGACATAATGCTGTGGCTTTAAATATTGCTATGACTTTTGCTTTAAAAATATTTGTACAAAACATTTGCCAAGTAGGAGAAATTATCGAAAAGACTTTGGTAATGTATGAAAGAATTTTATTTTATTTTTTATTTTTTTTTTAATTTTATTGAAAAATTATTGATAAGAACATAAATTATTCCAATTTAATCACGCTATACACATTAATATTCCGTAATTTTCTAACAATTACTGTTTTAACCGAAAAATACTGGAATCTTCAAGTGATTTTTCTGTTTAATATAAGTATGCTGAATAGGAGCTTTAAAAAAAAAAAAAAGAAAGAAAAAAAAAACTTGCAAATGACATCAAAAAGTATTGGCGTCTATTTGTTTCTCATAAAAGACATTCGCACTTCCATACAAAAGTATGTCATTACGCGACTTTTCCCATTTGTACTACATGTACAATGTTTACGTCTAATATCGCACGCGACTTCTGTCGAGCTGCTATCTCGCAAGATTTTTCCATTTAAAGTCTTGCTTTCTCTGAAATATAACGCATAAAAATAGTTGGGCACGATGTGAGCTGCTTGTTGCGAAAATTTACTTATCACAAAATTGCATTTTGTATCTTTAACTTTTCCCTAAACAACTCAACTACATTACTCATCGATACGAAAATATTAAAAAATATGCACAATAATATATATCATTTTTTCACTTTTGAGAAGGAATTATTGTTATTATTTATTGTTAAAATTGCATAAAGAAAGTGCGTCTTTTCGGATTCGCAAAGCACACCTACGGAAGCCTATTATTTCTCATATATTCCTTTATACTTATTATGAGTACAACAAATAGAATTAAAATATTTGTATATAAAAAATGCTTAGCAAGGCACGAGGAATACAGGTAGCGCAGCACAGGGGGTTTAGCGTCACCGTCAATTAGCTGATTTTTTTTTTTCATCTTATAAGTGCTATTACAGTCCCGTGAGATCAGTCCGCTAAACACTAATGTTATTTTGTTGTTAACGAGATTAGACGAAATATATGCTGTATTACAAAAATGTGTAAGAGCTACTATCAACACTTAACGTTATCATCGATCCTTTACAAAAAATAAAAATTAGCAAGCAAGTACTCGTAAGTCGTTCTCTAGGTTTTGAACGTAACATTTGAACATTAAAATTTGAACGTTCCAAGTAATTACCTAATGGGTAAATTTGCTTATTTATCCGTGCATATGGTACGTTCGCTTGTAATTTTATAGCACAAATGTGTCGATTACAAGATTATTACTTTTTTAAAACGAAGAGTATAAAAAGTCTATCATCGTCTAGTCGTAAAATAATCGTGCCTTACTCAGTATCCCTAAATATTCCTTATTATCTAGGTATTTTATAGTAAATTATAGTTTATCAAAAAAAAAAAAAAAAAAAAAAAAAAAAAAAAAAAAATTATTGTTATTAAATGGGAGATAGAAAAATTTGTGATACACAAGTGTTTAAGCTTAACGATAACCATCGTGCCCGACCATTTTTATTATGAAACAGAACGACAATCGAGATTCCTAAATTTAACTTTCAATATTTTTAATTCGAATAAAGCTTATGCATAGTAGAAAATATTACATGGCACAATCCCTACGTAATATCTATCATATAACTGCACATTTATCTGTTGATTATAATTTTATGTAGCTGTTTTCTTATATTTTTCTCTTGTAATTGGAAGATTTGTCATTTATAAATGCCTGCATTTTAAAAATAAAATTCTTTAAATGATTGAATTCTGTCAATAGTAGTACACGCCTCTTTTACTTTAATCATCTATTCTTACAATTGTAGCTTATTACGTCATTATTATTACATATTTTTACAATTTACAAATATGATTTCACATATATTCGCTTTCTTTTTTTTTTCTTTTTTTTTTTAAATAAATCGCATCACTCACTCGCCAACTTAGCATTTTTCACCTTTACCAAACATACGATAAATCTGAAACATATCAAAACTTAAACGTCAAAAGGCATAAACAATGATAATGATAATTGTCTTGATAATATACTATAAATATACATATCATTCAATGTACAGCAAAATCATTAGAGAATATCACGTTGTTATCAAAAATTATATTATTTATGGTATGTGTGCGTGCGTGTGTATGTGTGTGTACGCGCGCGCGCTTATGTGTGCACGCGTTTCAGTATGTGTATAAAGCAATTAAGTGGAAGCCGAAAGAATTAAATAAAAATTGGTAATAAATGAAAATTTACAAATTTTGAAATATTTGAATTTAATAATAACGCGGGCGATGTTCATATCCAGTCTATTCATAGGCAATTATTTATTTCTAAAAAAAAAATAATCCACAAAAAAGTTATATAATTATTTAACACACATTTATAGAGAAAATATTTCATTTTCTTTTTGGTCACTCTCACCCAAATGACCATTCTTGTTTTCGTAATTTTTGTAATTTAAATCGATTATTGACGAAAAATTAAAAAAAATTTTCATTATTGGATTATTTTTAATGGTGTCGTAAAATATTTGATCCTCTAAATTTGTATAACAATAATTCATTTACAAAATTTAAGATGCCAATATTACAGTAAGTTCCATTGCTTTATTTTTATAATAAATAATAAAGTAGTATACTTATTAAAATTGTAACATTTAATCTCAAAGTAGTGAAAATAATAAAAATGGAATTCTTATTAGACAGTTATTAAGAAAATTCCGATAATTTGACAGAATTTCATTCTATAACATTTAGTCTTTTGATAAATGTAATTGCTTCAAAAAAACTTAATTATCTTCTATACACACACACTCACGTATATCCGTCTATCCGCCCGCGCGCACACACCCACACACGCATATATACATAAGAATACGTACGCGCGCGCGCGCGCGCACACACACACACACATATATATATATATATATGTATGCGCGTGTGCGTATTTGTTTCAAACAAATCACTTATACTTGCTGTATCCGAATCCTAGAATGAAGCTGTAATTGTTACCGCGACCATATAGTGCGCTTTCTATGAACTTTATTATGATAAAATTAGTGTTAAACTAAAATTAAGACGATACGTAATTGCCATCTGTAATTGTAGACTAGGTTGAATGTGCTAGTTCGATGAATCTGCCAAACGCACGTAACAAATACCACCTTCTCTCTTCCTTTAACCGCAAATGATACTGTGATTACGTCGAGATATAGTGTGATAAATTTGATCACTAGCATTTATGAAATGCAGTACATTATACGAACTGCAACAGTAAGTAAATCTGCTGCACATACTACAGAATATTCCGTAGATGCATTACAACGTCATCGAAAGGAAGTAGCTGGAATTAGCATTCGTTCTCTAATTTATTCACAAGCTATCAAATGCATCGAAAAACTGGCACTTTTATAGCGCAGATACTAAGATAAGTTACTGCTCGTTTGATCATTATTATAATAAATTGCTTGAGGTTCATTTGATAACTGTGACGCAATAGGCACCTTCAAAATATGCGTCGACGAGGCTACGAGGGTACTGTCGTCGACATTAGCATTGGCAAAATTTGCTTTCTTTTTTGCTTGCTGCTGTATACTGTCGATCTCGGCCCAAATACTCCTAACATCCTTAAAGAGCTGTAACCAAACGGATTTTCAAGTGATTTTAGTATTAAGCTGATTCATCCATCATACGTCAAAGTGCAATTAAAAATAGTTAGAATTAATTTTGCATGAAATTAAAATTAGGCCAACCTGGTTCAACCACGTTTCGTCTGCCAGTAATTCATTGAGAATAATTGTGGTGTCTTTCTGAGGATCCGCAACCCTTTTGTCAGCAACTCTTCTCGCACATTCCAGAAACATAAGGTATTTTTGATGCGCTACCTTATTGAATAACGCCACTTTCGTTTGACAAAGACGACATAATAAAAAGTCCTAAAACGAGTATTACTTGTTATTTTATGAATAATCGATACGGACATTCAAGAAACAGAAATGCGGTGACAACATTTTTAATACTAACATTTACAGAAGATTAATTTTATGTTTGGTTTACGTTCACTTATTGATTAAGATTTATAGTTAAATAATAGCTCATTAGCTTATTAACTGAAATGACACGTTTATAAAATGTTAAATTTACATTTCACTGCGTCGAAAAAGTATCTATAACCTATCAAAGAATAGCAACTATATTTATTAAATCTATTAAATCAAAATCATTATGAACATATCGTGGCTGTCAGACTTCAACCGCCACTCGATCATTAAAATCGCAATCGCATAGAATCAAATTTTCTATTTTAAATTTAAATTTAGTATATTTCTGAACTTTCAATTTTATGATCCAATGAGTTATTGTAATAGTAATATATGAGAATTTCATGGCTTATTATACAATTTCAAATATTATTGATATTGTTGTGCTACTTTAACCACGACTCAATCAATGAAGCAAAAAATTTTCTTCGTATACGGTGTGACTTACAATCACTTTATTCGGTCAAATATTAATAATAATAATAACAATATTGTCTTTTTCAACGGGTTTTTCTCATGGCATAGTGCAATAATTACAATTGCCCAACAATTAATAAATCATATTATTATTGCATTATTATAAATAATTAAATCACCATTATCGCGATTTAAGTTTCACCTGTCTATATTGAAATTGTAATTATGAAAAACAGATTTCTAACTTCACCTTTACTTCAGCTCAAAATTGTATGTTTTTAATCAAATTTACGTTATCTCTACATGTCTCTGATTTGTTTCTTCCCACAACACCAATATATCCTCGCACGAGTGTAGTAATATATTTTAAAGCCTAATTAAATAAAAGCATTTTCTTCTTTAATTCCTTTAAAAAAAATTATTTCAAAAGATATGCTGCCTCTAAATAGAATTTACCAGTATATAATACTTCGTCGTATTCTGTTTCAGTTGAGTGCTCGTAAATATTTAATAGCCCATTAAAACAGTTTTTTAAAACTTGGCTCGAATCTAAAACAAGTCATTTATATCTATAAATAAGTTTTCCTTTTCAATTTCTATTACTATTATTACTACGAAATTCTAAAATATAACTTATTTCCGTATTTAAATATTTGATTAGTATTCTTAAAGTAGCTTTCCAAAAATTTGGCTTGTTAATCTTGCACACTATGTATTATTCATATTATTAATACTTTGTGTTTCTTTCTTACTATTTATTATATCTTTCGTACATTCGCATAATCCTTTAAATAAATTATTTCCTTCATCTTGATTATTCACAATGTAATGAATAATTATTCATAGTGTCTTTACTCAATCATTTAACTTTATGTTAAATAGCTTCTGGATTTTCATTGTTTACATTGCCCTGTCAGATATTATTCTTTATATTAATTTGAGACTTTAATTCGGTATTGTACTCTCTCTCTCTCTCTCTCTTTTCATAAGCTTCCCCTCACCAAATTAATCTTATTTATATCTTTTCTTTTTTATTTTAGTTTTTATCTATTTACAATTGAATACTAATCAATTCATAAAAATTGAAATCTCTCCAGCTAATCTGGAAATTTATATATTTTCATATATATATATATATGTTTATTAAAAAAAACATTGTGTATAAATTCATTGAATAGTTATTAATATGCAAAGTTATTTACTACTATATGTCACGAAAATAAGACTGTCAAATAAACATTACAATTTCAAAATATTCTTCCAAGAATGAAAGCGACCTATCGATGATATAGGATCCATGTTATTACATAATACATAATTTTTAAGGGGAAAAACGATAGAAAAAAGTTGACATATACCTTTCCCTTAGGGGCATTTTTGTCTATGCATAAGAAAATACACACTAAATAGTAACAGATGTGGTTATAAGAGTTTTACATGACGAAATATGAGACCTGATATTGTCTCCGTGTTTCTTTTAATCCAAGATAAAATGTAAGCACTATTACTATACCTCATCTCAAATATCAAAGAGCTTATTAATAAATATACACTGTATATTTCACATTTATCTACTGCATTTATAAAATATTAAGTTTACTATAATTTTCTTTATAGAAAGTTTGCCAATTTAGCATGTATACACACACACGCACGCACATCAACACACACACACACACACACACACACACACACACACATACATATATATATATATATAATAGAATCGTTAAGTAAACAATCGGCAATGAATGAAAAATTAAAAAAATACATAGCGATGGAATGACTTGTCATTTGTCAACAACTGTTGGATTTATCGATAAAACTATTACTTTCCTCAAACGAACATTGCACACAAAAAAAACAAACAAAAAACAAGTATCTCTACTAACTAACCAATGATGATGTAAATTAAATTTCAGAATGAATGCTATAAAATCCAATTTGAATTTCTAATTTTCCAGACATGCATCTTTATAAATTTGAATAAGAGGTGGGTAGTGCTTATATACCTTTTCTTGAGGCACTTGAGGATCGGGTGGAGAACCTTCTAGCGTCGTACTATTGTAAGGCTGTCCGTATAGTAGAACCCTTGCATGAATCTTTAATCGATTACATCCAGCACACGACTTGCCTTTATAATCTAATATATTATCTTTTAATACATTTATGCAAGGCCAAGTGGACAATGCTGTTATGATGTTTTGACGCCAATTTGTTGTTGAAAGCAGTCGCTGCTTTCTTTCCTCCGTTATTTCATCCACGGTTTTAACATTTAACAAAAAGTAATCATCTAAATTTAGGCGAATTAAAAATACCATTAATTATTGCCAAACGACTATAATATTTTAATTGAATTTGCAATGCACAATATTACCTTGCTCTTGAAAAATTTCAGTCAAAAAATTAGAATCCAATGCTTGCGAGATTAATGTTTGTATGTATACTTCGAAATTATCTTGATACTTTCCCGTATCTTTCATAAATTTATTTATACATTCGCTGGATTAATAAAAGCAACGTGCGAATTAGTATAAATATCCATTGAACATAATCATAAATGTCTTTGTATATTCACCTGTCGTCCACTATCATATCTTCGCGTAGAAACTCGACGATCGTCTCCAGCTTACCTTGCTGCCAAAATTTAACTGGTACTTGTTGATAAATATGTCGATTTTGCGGAGCCCATCCAGAGTACTAAATTTATAAATAATCCACAATTTTTAAAAGACTCGGCCCAGTGACTTTCACGCCACAATTATTTCAATCGTTAAAGAGATTATACGTACCGTCGAAATATTTCTATACAAAGTTTTGCCATTACTTTGAAAGGGTTCGTACTTTTGTAAAAGTGTTTTGCCATCAATCCTCCACAATGGTGGATATTCTTGATCCAAATCACTTTTTATTACGACGAATTCACCGGACTAAAATATAAAAAAAACCTTGATCAGTCTGCGAAAGAGATATTTAATTGCATTACGTATTTAAAGATACCAAAGTTACGTTTTCAAATATAAGAGAGTGAGAGAGAGAGAGAGAAAGAAGAACAAAATAATTACGATTGAAATTTTATAACAAACAAAGCTTAATCAAATTATGGCATTTATTATTTCTAATAACTTTGCTTTATATTAATTATATAACGAACGACTTTTATGTAAGAATTTCAGATAAATTCATATGGATAAAAATTTTGCAAATTTAAATCATAAAAGCTTATAACACCGGATAAATAAATAAATAGTACAAAAATAATGCTTTTAATGAATCAATTAGTATACTAGTTTTATTATTTTTTTTTTAATAAAAGACAATTAATTTACTAAATATGAAGACAGAAAATTATAATCAGGTAATTTTTACATTATACATAATATAAACCGATCAACACGTCATAAAAAAAATTATGAATAAATATAGGAGTAATCTATACGAGATGTGCAGAAAAAGGTTAGCTTAAAACAAAAAAAAAAAAGTACAGTACAATAACCACCAGCGAAAGGTATTAGCTTATAATACCAAAGACATTAATAGACAATAAAGTTATTGTTGTATAAATTTAAAAAAAAAAAAAAAAAAAAAAAAATTGGTAACACTTGCCTTATACGCGATATTGCTCGAAAACATCCGAGACACGACAAATAAAATTACGATACATTAATAAAGTAACAGAAGCAAAATTCAAAAACTTAAGTAAATAAAGCATGAAAAAGGAAAATAAACGGAACAGAAGTCTTAAAAGTATTAGACTCTTAAAGTATAAAGTGTGTTGATTAAGATTTACCGCATCATAGGCATCTCCGATTGTAGAATGCTGCGTGCAACAAAGTAAGCGTTACATTAATAATGACAATTGTATGATATTGAAGCATTATTAATAATGGTAATAATAATAGTAATAATAATAATAATAATAATAATAATAATAATAATAATAATAATAATGATGATGATGATGATGATTATGATGATGATGATGATGATGATTATTATTATTATTATTATTATTATTATTATTATTATGACGATGATGATGATGATAGCGATGACAATTATTCTTATAATAATAATAACAATAGAGAGCGGGAAGAGAGGGGAGGGCGGGTGGGTGAGTACTTGTGTGTCTATACATATCTGTGTATGTGTGGGTATGTGCATCTGTCCTGTACAGCGTCTTTGCAAATGATTCTTGAGGAATGGAGTTGAGGCGTTTTCGGGTGCCCCCAACCCGTCTAGCCTACGTACCTTGAACGGCGATATATCGATATCCTCGTCGCTGACCGAAGCCAGGAGTTTCTCGTCGATCTTGCAGGTAAGCTTTGTCGCATTGGCCGTTTCGACTTGGCTGCGCCGCTTCCTTCCAGCCCTCTTCGGCGCCGTCGGCTGCTCCCCGTGCACGAGGTCCCGCCTCTTGGAGATTATGGGCGGCCTGCCGCGCTTCTTGCGCTTCTCCTCGTCCTCGCCAACGGACTTGGCTGCGGGCGTCCACGCGGGATCCGAGTCCGAGTCGCCCTGTTCCTCGTCTACCTCGTACGGGTCACCGGAATGCTGGCTATCAAGCATCTGCTTCACGCTCATCTTCTCTTTGGCTTTGCGTCGCGAGCTCTCTCGCCTCGGTAGCTGCGCTGCTTCTGAAATTCACGCGCATTTTTCAAATTTTCAGCCGTCTCTTGACATTTAGAGAGGTCCTATCTACTTCATAGGACAAATTACGATGAAGTGCTCGTCTCTTGCAACGCCTCTCTCTCTCTCTCTCTCTCTCTCTCTCTCTCTCTCTCACTCTCTCTTTCAATTATTACTAAATACGATCTGTATCTTGCGGCTAAGAACTTCCGAAGCATTTGATTAGCGCATAAATATTATAAGCTAATGATAAATAAAACAATGACAATGATGAGAAAAACGACGACAACGACGAGGATAAAATTGATTATAATAATAAGAACAGGAAGAATAGCGATTACGATGATAATAACAACCACAACAGCATTAACAACAATGATAACAATAATAAGTTGTAATATATGCTGATAAGGATGCGGTCTTATTCCTTTTATCCTCGGCGAATCGATAATTTTACGTGTATAATTTTACATCTAAAGTTTAACCATAAAATTTACTATTAATTCGGGGCTTGATAGCGGTAAATTAACTCCACTTTATAAGTCTGTAACAGAGGGTGAAAATGAAAGGGGAGAGGGTATTTATGCACGAATTTATCCGGACCCCCGTTTATCTAGAGGCTTCTGACAACATATGTCGACGCACTTTTTCCTTAGAGTCTCTCATTACTATTCCCATCAGCTATTCAAATGCTTGATAAAAATTAATTAACGTTTAAGGGTGAAGGAATATATGAATTTTAAATCCGAATTAAGAAGTCTCAACGATAATGTAAATTTCAGCACCAAAAAAACAACATTTAAATCAATATCGTCGTGTATTACAATTTCTTTTCCCATCTTGACAATTGGATCGGAAATTTTTAATAATATATAAAGGATTATTATAAAAAGGCTATATATACACACACACACATATATATATATAAATTTTTATATATATATATATATTTTTTTTATAGCCTTTTATATATATATATATATATATATATATATATATATATGTCTATTCGCGAATAGAAATTATCATTAGCGAGATGAAAAATTTAATTATTTAACAAAACAATATCCTTTTATTTCCTTCGTATATCATTCGTACATTTATATAATCCATTAGGTAACCACTTATTAAATATTAGAGCATGTTTATATATGTAATGTAGTCACGTGATACTTTAACTGCCTAGGACCTTGGATCACGCTATATAATACACGGGATACGAAGAAAGACACAACTGTTATTGCTTGTTCTGCGTATTATTCGCATATTTGCATTAATCAGTTTTATACTTCGACTTTATTATCTACTATCTCATATACACTTTTTGTTCACGGCCAACTAATAAAAAAACTCATACTGTAAATTGAAAAATTCTAAACATATTACAAATAAGACGTAAATAAACTTGCATTGATAAAAATATTAAATAATCAATGAAACGGTATCATGGAAATTTATGTACGATTACAATGTTTCTAGGCACTAGATAATAATTCTAAAAACATACCAAGATAACACGGTTAATAAATGTTTATTTAAGAAACAATGCAATCTATAAGAGCATAGGTAAGTTAATAGAAGTAAAATGTTTACAGCAATCGTCGATAAAAAGAAATCGCCATCTTATTAACGTCACTATGTAAAAATTCGTAAATAATATTTTAACGTCTTATTATTATTATTATTATTATTATTATTATTATTATTATTATTATTATTATTGTTGTTGTTGTTGTTGTTGTTGTTATTATTATTATTTTACATATTAAAACCAAAAAGAAATCGGAATTATCTACGCGAGAGTTTGATAATATTCATGTTTCAAGAAATCATTTCATTTTTTATGCATAATCTAAAGTATAAAACGCATATTCGCAATAAAACCTAATGTAAAAAAAGATTATTTTTTATACTATTATTGAAAAACTATTGAATGACACAATTCTGTGTAATATAAAATATACACAAATAAAATATAATTATAACGTTAATTGTCTCTTAGAGTCGTCTTAAGAATTAAGACTTCACTTCATACCTATTACCCTTATCAGTATTTTAAAATGTTGTACACATTTCTTTTTAGATTTTGTATATTCTAAACCAAGTCCTTATCTTTATAAAATAAAGAAAATGGATCAACTTTGTATGTACATGATCGAAAAACAACAGTCTTCGATATCACAAAAATTCTATATTGTATGAAATACCTACTTATTATACATCGATGTGTCTTTCATTTTTAGAATCTTAGATAAACCGTGGCTCGATGATATTTTTAAAAATAATTATCTATTCATTCGAAAAACGAGGAATACTTCATTTTATCCGACGAAATCATTCTTTGAAACTGAAGCGCGAAAAAGAAAAGAAAATACTTACACATATTTTTAACCAAATAATTAATTATGTGTTAACGTAATAGCAAGGGGGAGGGGGAGGGGGAGGGGAAAGATTCTATAATATTGAATATCAAATAATTATTTATTAATGTCGAGTATGGTAATATCTTTCTCTGATCTCATTCAATTCGAACGGCGTAGGTGATTCTTATTATATTATTTTTCATATATAATTATATGGAAAAATATATAAAAATTTATCAGAAAATAATAATAATAATCGCAAAACTTTTTAGGGGGAGACACGAATAATTTGTCGATTTACTTCACTTTACCGGTAGAACGACAACACATATTCTGTAAACTCATAATCGTTTATAAGTAAATCGGAGAATATATTTAAATGTCAGGCTGCGTCAAAGAACGTAAAAAGCACATAAGCAACTTGAATTTCTCCGTTAATAATTACATTATTTAAGGAATTTTAATATGAAATTAATAATGCCGAAAATGCTTCGCGCGAACGCAATTATTTAAATAATAAATGCTTTTATTAATTTTTCAGCTCATTTATCAAAGCGGCTCATAAAAAATATATTCTTTTGAGTTATAAGGTGCTTTAAAATATTAACACCAATTTATTATTTATATATATATATATATATATATATAAAGACCTTTAATACTTAATTACTTTAGACGTACATTTACATTTTTCCTATGACAAATTTTGAAAATTGTATTTAAAACCCACCGTTTGTGCAATAGCAAAGAAAAAGATTTTTTTTAATTTTTTTTTCGTTTATTTTTACAGGATGAAATAAAACTAATCGCCTAAATAGGATATAAGAGCGTTTCCATGCTTCGAATTTGCATTGGCAGGTAATAATAAATATATGAATTTGAGCACGATATCCCATCCTGGGGACTCATGGACTCTTAAATACATATAATTTAAAATCGGACTAACTTTTTCTAGTAGTTTCGTTGACGGGTGGGAGTACGATGCCTTTGGCAGCAGCCGCAGCCGCAGCCGCAGCAGCCGCGGCCGCGGCTTTCCTCTTCCTGTCCGTGGGACCCCCTGGTTTGATCGGTCTACCCTTTTTCTTCACCTGAGGTATTTTGGTAGCCACCGCTGGCGCCATTTGATTTCGGTCCACCTGGCATATGCGATTCAATGTCGTCGCTTTTCGATCTTGGCGCTTGGAATTAAAGGGCGGGAGTTGGTCGTCGCTGGAGAAGCCGTCGTCGCTGGAATCGAAATTTTGCTTCTTACGCTCTTTGGGTAAAGGAAAGTAACGTGGATCGTTCGCGTAATCGATCTGTGGCATTTCCTTTGCCTTATCCGTGACAGTCGTCGTTTGTGTGCTGATCTTGTTCCACGTCTCACCGCCATTCGATTCCACTGGAATGTAAGGCTTCCTACTGTCCCATGATGTTTTTCTACCTGTATGCAATCGTTTCATTACATTAGTCTCGCTTTGATTGAAAGATGATCGATTTTGCACGTGTTTTTATACCTCCACGAAGAGTTGGCGGTGGCGATGTATCTTTCTCGCCTTGTAGGAACTTGAGGTAACTCGTCATGAACCCGGTATTTGGATCGTTGTTCAATACACGCTTAATGTCCGGATTCGTGTGCCGATGGCTGTTTAAAACGGCATTATGGTGTTGCGCCTGCTGCAAAAAACCCAGCTCCTCTTCGATATTCGGGACGATCACTTGCGGCCTGTCGTCCTTCATCGAATTCTGTATGCAAATATTATTATGCTGGCAGATGTTCGGGTCCGCAATACCAAGTGTGTTCATCTCCATCGGCGAGTGCATTTCATGCGTGGAATGATACTGTTGCTGTTGCTGTTGCTGTTGCTGTTGCTGTTGTTGTTGTTGTTGGTGGTGATGGTGGTGGTGATGATGAGGGTGATGGTGGTGTGGTTGTGGATGGTGCTGTTGCTGCTGGTGCTGGAGCGGCATAATTTGATGACTGGAAGGCGCTATGTGGAAGGCAGGAAAGTAGGAGACAGTGGCGGGCGCGTGTTGGGAAATTATGAGCGGCTGCTGCTGATGTATCACGGTATTCGTGACGATGTTCGTACCGTGATTCAGCGCCTGAGGCTGCGGCTGCTGAGCAACGAACGTACCCGGTCCCGTGGCTATCAACTTCGCGTGCGGCAGCGCCATATTCCATCTTTCGAATTCGATATAACCGTTTTGTTGTTGGGTCTGCTGTTGGAGTGGTAGTTGCTGCTGCTGTTGCTGATGTTGGGTCTGCTGTTGGAGTGATAGTTGCTGCTGCTGTTGCTGCTGATTCACAATGGCGTTGTGATGCGCGGGAGGTGGGATACGATCGAGATAATCAACGACAACGTTCGCACTAGCGAGCTCCACGTCCATTTTATCGAGGCTTTTCCGCTTTACGCCAATGGGACCGAGGGCCACATGATGATGGTGTCGCTGGTCCTCAAGCTGCTTCAGCTCGTCATTCTCGTGATCGATTCCACTAGTTTGCAGCACCTGCAGGTTTTTCACTATGCTCATTGAATCGCCTCGGCAACCGTTCAACTCTTGTAGGGTTATTTGATCAGTTTCCAAACAGGACGATTGGCGATCCGAGACACCCATAATCCTCTGTATTTGATGATTAGCGAGTACGGTCGTGTCGGTGGTATCCTGCGCGAGGTAATTCGCGTTGGAGAATTTTCTTAGATCGTTGGATTGCTGTCGAACATCGTTGTCCCAACAGATTTGCTTAGACTGGCCAAAATCTTGCGTCCTCTCGTACTGTACCCTATTCGTGCCTAAAATAACAAAATAGTTGGACGATCGTGTAAATGCAATGCACTTGATTGGTGCGTTTAAATAGCATATGGTAATAAAGATTTTAAAGCCACGTGACTCGCAATGGATGATTTACTTAATTAGCATTTTTCATTTCTTTAAAATAATTGGACTCACTTAAATGCCAACCACGTGTCAATGATTATATTTAAGCCCACCTTTTTGCAACGTATAATAAATACATTGTTGTATTCATTAAATAATGTCATAAACAATCGATTATCAAAGACGGTATAATTACCAACGGACAGCGAATATTCTGTCTATCAGATATATTTATGCTTTATATAAGCTTCCTCGGAATCGCAAATGTGCATGTTTAAATTGCTGGCCGAATCGCGACTTTGATAAGGAAATGCCTCGTTATTTATTCCACTGATGCTGCGATAATTAAGACAAATAAAAAATACTACGAACGGCAAAGCGACAGGGTCGATGATAGTAACAAATTACCGTCAGTGCTGTAGTTAGTCTTGTTGTTCTCATTGGCACCCAGTACCCTAGTAATAACCGATGAATAGGCGACCTGGCCTTGTTGCGAGGGCGGTCTGGTTACAGTGACGTCGAGGGGTGAGGGCGGCGTCATCTGCTGTTGCACGTTGCCCGTTTTGTAAGGTGTACTCGAGGCCACGTCTCCGTGCTGCTGCTGGAGCGGCGAGGGTGAGGACATGGTAGCCATGGGACTATTGTACATGGGATAAGTGGCAGGACTGGGCACGTGAGCGAGTGGCGATGGCTGCGAGTGACTTTGAAGGGGACTCGGCCTCCTTGGCACGACCACCGCGCAATCGGGCCCATTTTGCGACGTGTTGGAGGAGTAGGCACTGTCGGTCGAGGCCGCAGACTTGGAGCGTGCGGGATGATGGTATTCCGTGTCGGCTGTCGCGACGTAGTGTCGACAGGAGCTTGGCGGCGGCGGCGGCTGCTGCTGCTGCTGTTGTTGTTGCTGGCCCTGCTGACCGAGGACATGGAATTGCTGGACAGCGCCGTTGGGTGGCTGCTGCTGATGCTGTTGCTGCTTGCCTGTGCTGTTCGTTGCGCTGTAGTTAACGCTACGCGAGTCCATGATGGAGAAGCTGATTGGCGACGATTGGCTACTATCGTGGCTCTGATCCGCTCCCGTGTGATCATTGTGATTTACTGAAAGGAAGGAGGAATAGACGATTGCTTATTAATGCTCATCGTAGGTGGAGATGTTTCGCATTGGTCAATGTTTATCCTACGACTGGATTCATAATTGTTAATTGACATACTCGTGGAAATGGAGCGATGCTTAATTACGCTATTAAATTAAAAATAACGATGGGAGAGAGCTTCATTGTGAAAGATCGGTCATTAATTTGAATGTGAGAAACAATGAGAGAATTTAAATTGTATTATGTTCTGCTCACTAACTAATTATGCAAGCAAATTGTTTATCTCTCGTGTGTAATGCGTATGTTTTGACTACTTTGAATGCTGGATAATTGTAGGTATAGTAGAGTCGAGAAAGTATTGTAAATTAATTGGCAATTTTTAGACGTTGGTCGAGTGCATATTTTTTATGCTTCAATCAAGGATTTTATGTAAAAGAAATAGATCGTATGGATTTGTATGCCTCGATAATCTCTCCAATAATATGTAAAAATTCTTTATTTTACTTGTAACATTCGACCTATTATTTATACGATTTGAAGATCAACTTTTCACGCAGTATCTAACGGATAAATTATTAATCCGTTTTCAGTGTACTGAAGAGTCCTAAAATCGATTCTTTTAATTGCACTCGTCTTCTCCACTTCATGTGTAAACAAAAAGTAACAAAAACAACAAAAAACAACAAAAATAAACGAATTGGCCCGTGTAATCTTCATTTTTCTTCATTGATTTCATGTTCAATTATTATGTCGTAATTAATGTTCGAAATAATGAATAGTTGATCCATTAGAAACAAAAAGATAAACTTTCATCAGAATTTTCACTTCATTCGTGCTTGCGTGAAATACTTTTGCGTGATAATTTTGTCTGGTATGCTGGGGTAATTAGAGAAATATCAAGGTGTCATTACCAGTTGTCGTTTGCTTATCCTGTACAGTCGCATTTAAGTAAATCGTTGTTGGTACCGGAGATCTCGATGGTAATTGAGAAATCCTATACTCTTTATTAGATGGCGTTAAGTTTGTTGTAGAGACGATGCATGACTGATGATGCAGCGACGATTGTACCATGGGTGGATCTGCAGCTGATTGATCGTCGGTTGAATAATTGGCGGTTAAACCATCGGAATTGAAACCAGTCGATCCTTGAAAAAACGTGTGTGCGCCGGGGATCGATGATTCCGTAACTGAACATTTTATCGAATTACTATTATTATTAATAGGTGACTGCGCTTTGCCCTTTTTAATGGGGTCCGAATCGGGCCAGGAACCGGGTTTGGAGTCCGCTCCAGTCGAAGTCGTGCCATTGTTATTGTAGTGTGCGGCAAATGGTGTATCATAGGTAACGGCACTTATAAGCTTTGTTGCGGCTGGAGGACCGGTCGAAGTGGTGACAAGACTTTCGTGTGGCAGAATACCAAAGGGACTGGTGAGCTGATTATTAGGATGCGATAAGTTCCAGTCGGTTGACGGTGATGTGGCTGTTGCCTGATGTTCAAAGAATGTCTGAAAAGCCAAGTGTAAAATCATAAGCAAAGAAGATAAAAGGCTAATAGTTTTAGGAATGTGGTGGAGGGGCGTCACTTGGTTAAAATTATTTTTTATTTATTAATATTGCAGTTAGCTTAAAAGATAGCTTTTACATTGCTGAGGTATGATTGGCTTCTCGAGGCAGAAATGTTTTTCAGAGGGAGAAATTTGGTTAGTTTTAGGCATAGCTGCTATGGATGGAAGTGTATAATGCAATGTTTGTTTTAGATTTGTTGGATGAGGAAGAGGTGAGAAAGTATGATAACCTACCGCTGATGATGTAGACAGGAACCCTCCCGGGTTGAACGATGATGGTTGACCTGCCAGGGTTACGGCTGTGGGAGATGCTGCTTGGAGGAGTATCTGTGATGTAGTCGTGGAAGGCACTGTCTGGGCATTCACAGCAACGGGAACCAATTGGTGCACTGCAGAATCGGTACTCGCATTTGCTGATACACTTTGGAATGTGCTTGTGATGCTTCCATGAGCGGTTAGATGATTATACGATGCATACCATGGACCAATGGGATCCATTTACCTTCTTTTGGCACAAAAGTGCCCCTTCCCAAGAGTTTATTTATCAGTTATCACCATCAACTGATAAACTCTTGAAAACATGGTTTTTTCTTATTGAAAATAATGTTTTTACCTTGTCTTTTCCACTTGAACTTGTACATTTGAACAATTTGGGCTTGGCATAAGGGAAATACCAAGTGCAATAAATGGTACTATATCTGGAAATAAAAGAAGAATCAAAATAAGATTTCAAGAAAAACTAAAGAAGAAGAAGGGGGGGGGGAAGAGAATAAAAGAAGGAAGACGATAAACAAAAAAGGATGCATGGTGAATAATTAATTTTAAAAAATTCAGTGGGATTAAAACAATTCAAAGATATTAATGCACAGAGAAACACAATAAAAATATTCAAGTATTAAAATCAAGCTGCAGTTATTTTATCACATTTTAAAATTGATTATTTAAAAAAATATATATATATATTATTTTATTGCTTGTCATGTATATGAATATTTTTAGCTAATACATCGAACCACAAAAGCACTTTAAATTATTTACATGTAACAATAAAATCTTATCATTGCAAATCTTAATATTAAAATATAAAATATAATACAAATTAAATAATAGAATAATAATAATAATAATAATAATGATAATAATAATACTGAGCTTTAAAGCCAAATCCAAATTATAATTTAGATTAACAAAATATAGACAAATTCTGAAAATTGTTTCTGCTTGATAATGTTTTCCCAAATCATATTATTTGCTTTGAAAATTCATTTATACATCAAGATTGTTCAATAAATTATTTAAATATATGCTTTAATGATATTAAGAAAAATAAAAAGTGCCATAAAATTGTTATAGCTTTTAGCGATAAAAGCTATTAATATTTTAACAATTGCATTTAAAGTGCTAACGGATTATCTACGGCAATTAGAAAAAACCGAACAAATAATTTCGAAAAAAATAAAAAAACTATTTGTTTAAAAAATACTTGAAAAAAAAGAAAACAAACAAAAAAAATATATATACATATATATATGTATCTTAATCTCGTATAACATGGATTTATATTATTTAGCTTTCATCCAATTTGCTTTATAATTGAATCGTGTTTTAAACGCCTTCCGAAACTCCCATCGCACATACAGAACGACCGTTTCCTTATAAAAATACAATGTAAAAATTATTATCTAATTTATTTAAGTCTCTAAGCAGTTTCGCAATACATTACGAATAGTTATTTTCCTATAACCACAGCATTGAAAGTGTGAAATCTGAAAATCCGTGAAAACAAATGCGCATATCACTCACGTATTTTTCTCGATAGAATAAACTGGCAGCGTGTAAAAACTACATTTTAAGCATGCACATTAAAAACCGAAACATACGACAAAGACATAAACACAATGGTTTAAAGAAAATATATAAAAAAAAAAACAAAAAAAAAACCTCGACGTTACGACAGATAAACACCACTCACACGTGATCAGTCGCATCGCAAAAAAGCTTCGGGCGTCTTTATGCAAATAACGCACGTTACGAATTCACCATGTCGCGTAGGGTTCTGCGCATACTACACTCACAAATTTTCCTCAGTCCATACGCCCCCGCAGGGCGTTACATCTGTCTCCCCACTGTGTTTGACGCAAAATCATTGACTTTCGTAACCGGCCGAAGACCCTATTTTATAATTCCTGCACTTGAGCTCGTGCCTCTACATTAGGTTAGGTTTTTTCGTGTACATTAGTGTACACGCTTCCCGCGATTTCGAAAAAGCTCATGTTTACTAGAGAAATCTCGCCACGCTCTCCTTGCCGCTCTCTCGCTTTCAAAAAATATAAAATCGACATCGTCCTCATATCATGTCTTTTACGATACATGAGCGAGCGGACGGACGGACAGACGGACGGATGGACGAGCGAACAAGCGTGCGAGCGAGCGCGTAACGTTGTGAGGGCCGGTAGGATAGTGGGGAAGGGGGTAGGGGAGAGCATAAGAGAGCATGAGATAGAGAGAGAAATCGAGGTAAGGAACACAGAGATGAGACGGGCAGACAGCAGGAGACATAGTGAGTGAGTTAGTGAAAGAGCAAGCGAGTGCGTGTGAGAACGAGCCAACAGATTATACAGAGCGATGAGTGAAAGCGGGGAAGGGTTGGCGGGACGGAGAGCGGGTTGGGGGAAGGGGGTGGCGGTGGGGGTGGGGTGGATGAAGGCTCCCAAGGCAGGAATATATAGAGAGCGCGCAAGTGAGATACATAGACAGATAGATAGACAGACTAATAGATAGAGGATGGGGTGGGGTAAGGAACGTAAGAGATATATTCATGTTTGAGTTCGGTAACTCGGGCGTGCGTGCATGTTTTCTAGCACTAGAAAATACACTAATAGCGTACAATAACGAAACCGGAGCATCGTTCGGGTAGGTACGTAATCAGCGAGCAAGAGCACGCAGACCCCCGTCGAGAGCACAGAAACTAATTAACGAGAAACGAGCTGGGCAATTAAAGTTCATTATAACGTCAATTGCGCGCGCTCGCATTGTCGGAGGGGGTGGAGAGGATGATGATGACGACGACGATGATGATGATGGTAGTGACGGTGGAGGTGGAGGTGGAGGTGGTAGTAGCAATGGTAGTAGTGGTGATGCTGCCAGTGGTGGTGGTGGTGGTTCTGGCAGTGGTGGTGGTGGTGGCGGAGGTGGTGGTGGTGATGGTGATGTTAGGAAGAGGAGGAGGAGGAGCAGGAGAAGGAGAAGAATGGATCAAGAGCCCGTGACAAGTTTGTACAAGCCGTCAACGTCGACCGCAGCTTCGACATCGGGGCGCTGATCACGCGCGACTTGCTCCTCTCCTCCCTCTCGTTATAATTCCCGTCCGTCATTACACGCTGCTGCTTCGGCAACCTGTTTGCTGCCTGCTCTTGCTCGACCCGGAATCGGCGGTACGCGGGGGCTTACCTCTCGACGGGCTCGACTCGTGTCCGTGCCCCGCTGTCGGCGCGGTCGCGCGCGAGCACGGCCGGATCTCCTTCCGCCACTGCTGTCAGTGTCTCCTCGATGACGAGGGCGCGATCCGCTCGAGGAGGAGACGACCTTGTCGCTGGACGACCTCGTTGCACCGCTGGGATGCGCCGCGCGAGCGCATTATTTTCCGCTCGCGTTGCCTTTTCCCTTCTCGTACACGACGACTCCCCTCGAACTCCTTAGCTCCGGGGCGCTCGCCTTCTCTTGGGTACGCGCCGCGACGAGCGAGTGCCGGACGAACGGCAGACGGAGCGGTTCTGATAAAATATCGTCTAGGGGGAGACTACGGGCGGACGAGAGCGAGACAGCAAGCGTACGTGCGTGTGGGTGCACGCGCGCGTACGTGAGCGCCGCTAAAATGTGTGCTCGTGTCGGAGACGCGTGCGCTCGCAGACGGACGGCGGACACGGAGGTTCGCCTGGTCTGTCCTCGCGCTCGCGTTGTACCGTGGCCACTCGGAGGCGCGAGGCCGTTACGAGGGTCCGTCGTGCTGGGCGGGGGACGGAGAAGGGGAGCTACTGCTGCTGCTGCTGTTGCTGCTGATAGAGGGAGGGGGCCTCGGCTGTCGCTCCTACCCGGGGTCGTTCTATCGCTTGCCGATCGACGGCATCAGCGCGGGACGGCCGATTCCGGGCGCATTCTAACACGTTGTCCCCCCCCCCCTCCCCCGGAACTCCGTCGTCGCTATTTCGCTTCTCTTCCCCGTGCTCCCGGGCGACACAAAGGAGCGCAAAGACGAGGCGGTGCCCTTGCCACTTGGCTTTGCTCAAAATAGGCCCGCCGACTATCGGTCGCACAAAGTCGAGAAACGTCAACACGTCCGAATCGCTCTCTCCGCCTCGTCGAAATTCGCCTCTTGCCACCCGCTCCGCTTAGGTGTAGTTAATACGGCTCGGCTCGTGCACAGCATACACGGACACGGACACGAACACGCGCGCATACGACACACCTACGCGGGCACAAACATACGGGTGCGGACGAGCACACTGGTGAAAACCGTACACTTGCGCCGCTGCCACCGCCACCGCCACCGCTACCGCCGCTGTCGTCGCCGCCGTTGTCGGCACCACCGCCGTCACCGCCGTTGCCGCTGCTGCCGTCGCCGTCGCCTTTACCACCACCACCACCACTACCGCCGTCGCCTCCGCCGCCACCTCCACCACCACCACCACCACCACCGCCACCGCCACCGCCACCGTCGTCGTCACCACCACTACCACCGTCACAGTCACCACCACTACAGCAACCACCACCACCACTGCCGTCGATATTACCGTCGCCGCTGCCGCCGTCGCCGTCGCCGCTATTGCTATTGTTGCTGTTACTGCTGTAGATGCTTGTAGTGCTGGTGTTGGTGGTGCCGTTATATCTGCTACGGCTACTACCGGTGCTGTTGGTGCTTCTATTGCCGTTGACGTCGTCTTCGCCTCCGCTGCTGCTGCTACTACCGCTACTTTCATCCACCACCATGGCTATCACGATCTCCGGATCACATATTGTCATTCGCGAACCGCAGGCATTGGGCGCGCGTGGTGACGAGCCACTCGGCGGTTTCTACCCCCATCGGCGATCAGCACCTCGCCTCCGCGATCAACCGGCCCCGTGTCTACCCATTTATAGCGTGTTATTCGACCAAGAGTTTCGCGCTTGGTCTACGACGTACGTCGGACAGCCCCGACCTCTCGTTCGTGTGCCGATACACGTGCCCGTGTGCGCAGTGTTGCGCGCGCATCTACGCGATCGTGAGAGTCGTGCGGGGCGAGGATGAGTAGCGACGGTGCCCCACGATGCCGCTATAGACGAAGGATCTGCTACTTTTGCCACTCAAGCGACACTCCCGTTCGCTGCTCTTCCTATTTGCCTGCCGTCCCCTGCACAGCGCGACACGCTACCACGCACGAGAGCGCAAACTACTAGCCCGGAGCATGTAAAACCGTACAGTTACGTGCTTTAAGCGCTCGTGTGTAGGTATGCGAATTTCGTGTATGCGGCGCGCGCGCCACCTATCCGTCGATGATACGCCTGCGTGTCGTCGCAGGCGCTGTCGGTTATGCCGAAATTAAGCCGTCGGCATTGAGTCGAGGAGCTGAGTTTAAGTATTGGAACTTAGCAGGAAAATCGGCCCATCCGGTTTGATCACGATGGATATCCGGATTCCCAAGGGTCGCTCTGGGTATCGGCCGACTTTGGCCGTCAACCGTGGGGTGGTGTACTGATGAAGAGGAAGTTGCGAAGGATGAGGAAGACGAGGAATGGGCGGAATGGGAAGGGGGGGGGGGCGACGGCTGTGTTGGGTAGGAAAGAGGAGGGGCAGGGCTACCGATCAGTAGCGATAAAAGTGGTGGTTATCGTGGTTTTCTTTATGGACAATTCTCAGGAGAGTTCGGACCAGAATTTTATTACGGGCGCTTATAAAGTACCTAATACCTAATACATTAGCATATACGTCACGCATTTCTAAATATTGACGGTTGAGTTTTCTTTGGTCCGAGTAGGCTCGGCTCGATTCCAGTTAAACGAGGACAATTCAAATGCCTCTTAATAAAATGCTCTGCCAACACTTACTTATGCTCGGCTCTTAACTTCCATTAAAATCCGAAAAGTCCTTTTGTCCTTATTTACTGCAATTCCCCGAGTTTTGTCGTTTTTTTTCTTTCTGTGAAACAAACACTTGTAGTCGAGGGTGAGAGAATGTGAAATTAATTTTTTTTCTTAATAATGAATGAACGCCTGTGTAGCGATACTGTTCTCGCAAACCTAATTTCCAGCATACCGCGGTCGAGAGTGATAGAGTTGTCGATGAAAAAACAATAATCGTAATCGATCTCATGTGGAAACAGCTTATAAGCCTTTATACTTTGTCGTGGGAAATGTTAATTTTAATTTGTTGTGCCTACACATCAAAAACAATTTGCATGTATTTCCCTTTTTTTCTCTTCTTTTTTCTGGACCCCCCCCCCCCCTCCCGCCCCCGCTACTGCCACTGCCGCCGTCGCAGCCAACGCCATTTCTTTCTCTCTTTTTTTTTACTTTAATGACTAAAACAATCAAACGGTCATTCATTATGAATTCCGCATAAATTACCGAAAAAGCTGTACGATATCTTTACGTTTAATTTGTCTGTGAACTCCTTCCTCGCAATGGAGGAATGTAATTTGGAAGGAGTTATGGAATATCGTTATTTGATGTGTGTCAGTGTATAATATCCTTAGCAATGTCTCGAGCAATGAATATTAGCCATGCACGTATATCAGTAATAATAAATGTCAACTCTCCTTATTAGCCGCAAACAAATGTAGGAAAACAACGCGATTGAGCGAGCGCAGAAGGGTGGTGGCGACTGCGAGAGGGCTAGGAGGGACGAGAAGAGAGCGAGTGAGAGAGACAGAGACGGAGAAGGGAGGAATTCCTGGCGAAGGGACCACAGGTACTACGCGTCTCTACCTGGATGCCAGAAGTTGGCCCAAGTAGACCGCAAATAAGGCTTATGCGTATAAGTGCGCACGGCCAATCTCTTAAAGGTAACGAAGATAGACGCTGGTCTGTTGTAAAGGGTTATAGAATTTCCGCTTTAGATTAAATTCTGATATATGAGTTCCGTATATTAGAAATTACAATATGAGCTCGCGAGGCAATCGTATTTAACTGTCCTTGTTGCGGGGAAAGAAAGAAAGAAAGAACGAAAGAAGAAAAAAAAACCACATACACTCAACAGTAAAATATGCAAATAGTAGCTAATATGCATTAACAAGTTTAAGGAATATCAATAGACGTCTCGTTTGCAATGTATATCCGATGCCGAAAACCAGTTTTGCCGTTCAATTGCTTCATCTTACCGTACCTTAGTTGGCTAATATCAACTAATAAAATTGCTTCTCTATGGAGTAAAAAATGTACAGAGAACCGTAGAGAGAAACATTTATTAATCGCTGAGATATTCAATGACAAACCGCGATAAATTATATTTCAGTAAATTTACAATACGATTGAGCGTCAAGTGTAAACTATCTACATTTGATTACTAAATTCAACTGAAATATTATTGATTGTATTACGCTGATAATTGGGTAGCATTGTGGGTCATCAATTATCTCAGGTTTTAAATTCATTTTGAGTTACGTATCTGATGATTTGTATTTGGCTTATAAGATCGAAGCCTTGCAAAGTTCGTATCGGCTGCATTACGATTTTTGTTTCCCGCATAAAAAGAAGGCAATTACTCGACTCCACCTCCCTCGTCATACCAATGATATAATTATTATTTCTTTATACATTATTTAATAAAATTAAGTATGGAGCGCTTTTGCTTTTTAAATGAAATGTAGCTATTATGCAAGAATAAATTCGTAATTAGCACTATATTGAATATTTGGATAACTGTAACAAAATGACCAAGACAAAAATGGTTTTTATTAAAAAATACTTTTGTAACTACAAGAACAACGACGACAACGATAACAACGATAACAACAATAACAACAACAACAACAATAACAACAATAACAACAATTATTATAATATATCGATATCAAATGTAATAATATTGAGTTTAGATGTACAGTTTTTAGTTTTTTTTGCACGTTTTAAACAATTCAGCTAAGTTACATAGCCATTAGTAATATATCAGTGCATATTTCATTCGTGAATAATTTTCTGTACAAGGTAGATTGGCGATCGTAATACTTGTACTGTGAAAATAGTGACTATGCAATTATAATACTCAAACGATTTTGTAAGACACGTTCGTTTGGCCGAGTCGCTATCTAATTTTCAGACAGACAGGTGTTAGTACGTAATATGGAGATTATTATATTGACACAATGGCATGGCGCATTTTTCTCTAATTATTCGCGGGTGTGTTTTCATGTGTATTTTGTTTAGTCTGAATATTGTCTTCACTTTGATTTCCTAGCGTCTTACAATAGCTTCGCAACATGCGCGCTAAATAAAATCATCCATGTGCGTGTATATTTGTGTTTAGGTTAAATTATGATTATAATAGGCATAAACTTGTTAAATTTCACGTTTTTCATGCGTGTGCTAAATCGATGCTATTAATTGCAGCCTCTGTGGAATGGTACAAGAAAAGGAAAAAATGAGGATGAAAAAGAGATCTTTTTTCGTAATTATGACAATTGAAAGAAAATCTTCTTACTTATTTTCATATGCCCCATATTATGCATTTGTTGAGTCCAAGTAGTGCAAATGAAAGCAAGCCAAACAATAAATACACGAACAATGTCGTTGTTATTATTAGCATTGCAAAAAAAAAAAAAAAAAAAAAATAAGAAAAAAAAGAAG